GCACGATGCCATGCATCACTAGTTAATGACTAAAAATTATTTATAACGACCTGATTGTATAATTTCAACAAAAATGTGCTGATTGTGCCAATTTTATAAATTGTCATCATAATAATGATGATGTCGTTAGTTATATAAAAATAGAACATTAATTTAGAGCTATATACATGTTTTTGTAGGATTTATATCTAAAATATACTTCTGTTTATTTATCCATGTCTACAGCCTATGTACGACAGATTACTAATTGTATTTATTAAAACTTTAATTTAATATTCTATTTAACCAAAAGCAAGAATTTAAATCAACATTGTATATATAATTGAATGAATTGAAAATAAAAATCCTTCGGCCATACAATTTCTATTCAATTCGAACGGAAGCGAACTTGATCCGCGTTCACATTGATACAACACGTTTTCTTTGTGTTAAATTAAAAAAATCAATTGAAAAAAATATAATACTGGACAGACAGGGATTTAAAAATATCTACAGAGAGGGATTTAATAAATTTGTGTGTTTGGTACATGAAAATCGGCCCGGATTTGGGTGAAATTAGACCGGATTTGGATGAAAGTGGGGAAAAGTACTTTGTTGCGTTTTTGGTTCAGAATTTTGAAAAATTTTGTTGTAAGATATTTGTGGTCTAAGGATAAATTTAATGTTGTTAAATTATCTACATTTTTATCTAATATTAATATTATCTACAGATATTGCAAATGTCCTTAAAACAATTTTGAAAATTCGGTATTTCTGTCTTGTGATTTTGATACTTTGGAGTAGCAGTTTTTTTTTCAAATTTATTTAAATATTTCTTGAACTATTAACAACATTTGAATATTTTATTAGACAAATGTTTAGATAGACAAATTATATATATTTTTATCTAACATTTAAAATATCTGCAAACACCAGGAAGGCCTTGAAAAATATTTGAAAATTAGTAAAATCCCGACTGTTAAAAATACATTTTATATTGTTGTTCCAATAACTGTGTTATTATTCATTATATTTCTATATGACCTTTGGGAAAGTTCTAGATAAACAAATTGCCTAAAACTTTATCTAACACTAAAATTATCTACGACCACTTCAAATGCCCTCAAAAATAATTTAAAACAAATTTAATGCACCACTGCTCAAGAGGATTTTTATATATGACGGTAGTCTTAGAGCAAAACTGCACTTCTTTCACATTTGTGCAAATAATTATTAAACTAATAGAGGAATCTTCATACAGTCTTTGGCAATATTTTAGATAAATAAATTGTCTAAAACTTTATCTAACATTAAAATTATCTACAACCACGCTAAATGACCTTAAAAAAAATTAAAACGAATTTAATCCGCCACTGCTCAAGAGGATTATTATATATGTGATTGTAGTCTTAAAGCGAATCTGCACTTTTTTCACATTTATTTAATTAATTATTAAACCAATAGCGGAATCTTAATACAGTCTTCGGCAATATTTTAGATAAATGAATTATCTAAATATTTACTAACATTATAATTACCTACAACCACGCTAAATGCCCTTAAAAATAATTTAAAACGAATTTCATCCGCCACTGTTCATGAGGATTATCATATATGATTGTAAGTCCTAGAGCAAAACTGCACTTTTTTCATATTTTTTCGAATAATTATTAAACCAATAGAGGAATCTTGATACGGTCTTTGGCAAAGTTTTAGATAAATAAGTTATCAAAAACTTTATCTAACATTATAATTATCTACAACCATGCTAAATGCCCTTAAAAATAATTTAAAACAAAAATAATGCGCCACTGCTCAAGAGGATTATTATATATGTGATTGTAGTCTTAAAGCGAATCTGCATTTGTGCAAATAATTATTAAACTAATAGAAGAATGTTAATACGGTCTTTGGCAAAATTTTAGACAAATAAATTATCTAAAACTTTATCTAACACTAAATTTATCTAAAACCACTGTAAACAATTTTAAAAATTTATTTTCGATTAAAATTTTCCTAACAATTTGTCGTACCTAAAAAAATGAGTTATTTTAAGATTTTTTTTGGCTATAAATAGCTTCGGAAAGACTCTAATTTTCGGTACATATAATTTCATCATTTCCTAACACAAATATTTACCAGTTTTATTTTTCGTTCTATAAAATTTTATTTATAGAATCTGAACCGACAGACTAAGTAATCCATCAATTCTTCTAAAAGGTGTTTGTTCAATATCAGTTTCTATTTATAAGAAAATGTTTTTAGAAAATTGAAAGAAAACATTTAGCAGATTGTTTAATATAATGAACAAGTAATATTATTATGCATTTTATAAAACAGTTGAAGCTTTCATTTTGCAAATTTTATATATTTAAATGAATGCTTTACATTGTACTTGGTAAATGAAAAGATTTATTAAACTTCAAGTATGAAATGAAGGCTCTGTCTTGCACACAAAATGCAGAGGCGTAGTTTTTGAAGGCATTTTAAGGGCACTTGTAATAGTTGTAGGTAATTATAGTGATAGAGAAAGCTTTAGATAATTTAAAGTTAAAAGTTTGTCTAAGATTGTTTTTATATATCATTAGGTTTTACAGAAATATTGAGACTAACGTAGAAAAATGTCCTTGCAAACAACAGATTGTTTAAATAAATTTTAAAAATATTTACAGTGGTTATACATAACTTCAGTGTTAGATAAAGTTTTAGATAATTTATTAGTAATTTATTTAAATTTAATTTATTATTTATATATTTAAAGGATTAAACAATTATTAAGAAAGTTATCAGAGCAAATACATAAAAATGTATATGACAAATAATTTTCTTGCATTAACAGTACTTGGTACGGAATCCTAAACCCTAAGCTCCTAAATCGTATTATCTCTTTCAAAATGAGTCCTGTTAATCTTTTAATATTTATTCAAGAATCTTCTTCTAGAGATTAAAATTGAAAAAAAAAATTCCGTTATCAAAAACAAAATATTTATATCAGTACCCACGTGTTGTTCCTAACTGTCAATATTGACTTTCACTGAAATTCTCATCTATTCCAAGACACGTGGAGATTAATTCTTAGAAAAAAAATTGAGATAATATAGAGATTGTAAGGAGTATTTGGTATAAAGGAAAATTAATTACGACGAAACTGCCCGGCTGATTTTACCAAAAACCAATCATACCGTAAAACATAGTTGTATCGGTTGCATTTTTTATATCTACGATTATTTTGTTAAACATTTTTAAAATATAACAATAGTGTTATATATCATGATGTATCGTTGGAAAGTATATAAAATTATCTGTAAATCTGTGTATAACAATTTGCAAATGTTAGAACAAAATTATGTAAAAATAATTCCTCAAACTTTGACATTAAAATCTTGGTAAGGCGTCCATGTTGTAGCTTCAACGCTTTGGTTTAAATATATTTATTTTGTTATAATTTTTTTATATTTTTTTAACAGTGTTATATATCGTTAGAAAGCTAATAAAATTATCTATAATTTCTTATTTAAAAATTTAAAACTCTGAGAACAAAATCGTCTAGAAAAAAACTTTGAATATCAAGATTTGTAAACTGAGACATTTCGGGTATATCTTTCACATTTTGCTGAATTTTGTCCTAAAAAATTTTTTCAAATGTACCGCGTGACTCCGGTCTCTCCTACATTTATATATATCATATATATGTATATATAATTTTTCTATCCCATATCATAGTTTTAAAGTGTCCAATGTTTGTTTATTCGAACAAAACCGTTATCATCAGCTGAAACTCGAGTAGGAATAATATTATTTAAGTCATCTGATAGTTTTTATTCGAATAGATTAACATTTCTTTAGAAATCCTACAAGGTAATTTATACTCAGATAATATTCAGTGAAATTTAAATATATACTGTTATATAAAACTTGCTAGAAGTGCACGTGCACTGAGGGACAGTAGATTTATTCGATTTGGCAGAGGCGCATTTAGTGTATTTTTAGGTATTATTTTAGACGTAGTTAGGTATTATTTTAGTGTATTTTTAGGTGTATTTTAGGTATTATTTTAGGACCTTTGTAGTTGTTGTAGGTGCTTGGAGTGTTAGACAAAAATTTACATAATTTATTTATCTAAAATATCGTCTAACACTATATAAGGATTCGATTTCTAATTTAGGAGGTATTTAAATAAATATAACAAGCGTCCTGGATTTTGCTTCGCGATTATACTATTCGCTATATTGACCAGTAGTGGATTTAGGAGTGTTTTAATTATTATTTAAGGGCTTTTGTAGCTGTTGTAGGTACTTATAATGTTAGACAAAAATTTAGATTATTTATTTATCTTAAATATCGTCTAACACTATATTAAAATTCGATTAATAATTTCGGAGTTATTTAAATAAATATAGAAAAGCGTCCTGGATCTTGCTGCGCAATTATACTATTCGCTATATTGACCAGTAGTGGATTTAGGAATGTTTTAATTATTAATTAAGGGCTCTTGTAGTTGTTGTAGGTACTTGGTGTGTTAGATAAAAATTTACATAATTTATTTATCTTAAATATTGTTTAACACTATATTAAAATTCGATTAATAATTTCGGAGTTATTTAAATAAATATAGAAAATCGTCCTAGATCTTGTTATTTAATAATAAACTAATTAATGTATATTTATATGTATTTTTTGTAGAGTTTCGAACAAGAATCCAAAAATAATACAAAATAAAAAACAAGAAAAGTTTTTAAAAAAACAATTTCTTTATTTAATTATTTGTTTATTGTCGACGTTTCGGAACTAGGTACGTTCCATCTTCAGGACATCTGTCAAGAAACATGATCTTGATGAGATTTTTGCAAACAATATGTTTAGGAAAAGAAAATAGATTTTTCTTAAATAATGAATTGAATTGTAAAAAATATAATAATGTACAGAAATATGATAATATGTTCAAAATAAAAATGATAATATGTTCATTTATATGTATATATATATATATATATAAATTAATAAAAAAATTGTTGACTTACCGGAATGTCCACCAAATATTAAAACACATTGTGTTCAGCCAAAAAAATGCAGCCAGGAAGAAAAAGTGCATCAAAATTGCTGCAAAAAAATAAAAATTATTAAAATAATAAAAAAAATTATACATATACATATACAAATATATATATATATATATATATATATATACATAAGCAAAAACTGCTGTGGTGTCCAAAAAAAATCTACCTATGCAAATCAAAATATCAGATTTTTCATAAAGTTTTTAATATTTTCCACCAAGTTTTTTTGTTTTTTATCATTAGTACTTAGTTTATGATTTATTTAAATTAATTTTAATTATTTTTCTTTAAATGATCTGAAGAATTAGAAATATAATGGGCTTAAAATTTAGTACAAAATAATTTTTATACATTTTAGTTTCATATTATATGTTAATACCCTACAAATATGATTTAAGTAATAATTTAGAACAAAAGGCACATTGCATCTTCAGTTTTTTGCAAATATAGAATATATATCTGAAACTAACACTAATCTTTATTATTTATATATTTATTATTATATATTTATATATTTTATCATTTATATTTTTAAAAATGCATTTGAAACGTGTCCAAAAATGTAAAAATAATGTCAATTTAATGACACTGGCGTTAACGGCAAATAACCGCCGTTATGACTTCCGCGTTATAAGTGTTATAACGCGGTACATCATTATCTCTCAGACTGTTATTTAACGCTATTTTAAATAATTAAAGACATTTCGACCAAAAACAATATCATAGAAGACAGTTACTTCATCAGTATATTAGAATTTGGAAGTATTTTTTTGAAAGTACATTTTTCGACGTTTGTATTTATTACAAAGAAACGGCTTGACCAATCTTTGCACAAAACTGTAAGATACTAATTAACATTTATACGCATCGAATGTTTTTTAATTTATTCAAATACATCAACTCATTTTTTATTAATTTTAATTATAAAACCTATTATCTAGTATATTAGAAGGTGGAACATTTTTAATCACGCCTGAGGTACACTTTTCTAAATTTAGATTTATTAAAAAGAAACGGCTCGACCGATCTTTGCACAAAACTGCGAGATACTAATTAACATTCATACGCATAGAATGGTTGAATTTATTAATAAAAATCTTCCTCTTTTTTACACTTCTAATAGGAAAATACTGTATTTAGCATACTAGAATCGGCGGCAATAAAACATTTATAATGTTTCATATCAAAACAATTTGTTTTCGACCCAGATAATTTTTGTTCTCAGCAAACTTTCCACCAGCTCTCCCTCTATCCCCATTGTTTGTTTTTGTTTACGGTGTGTATATAATGCGATTGTTATTGTTTTTAAATCCATTCCAAAGTTTATTTTCGGAATTGCCATTACTTTTCCCATGTGAAAATAATTATAGACATTTGGACAACATCATGTCATGACTTGCACCAGAAATTGACCCAGAATTAGATTGTCCCAGAATTATTGCTAAAAATTTATATCGTGACAGAAAATTGACCCAGAAAAATTGGAAACAGAATTATGGTAAAAATTTATATCGTGACTGGTAGGAAATTGTTCCAGAATTTGGTAACAAGATTCATTTTGTTAAAAAAATGGAAAGTAACAGAAATAATGTTTTAGTTTCCAAAAAAAAACATTTCTTTATGGCGGAACAAATTGATGTGGTCGTCGTCACTATCATCTTATTATTGTCATATTTTTGCGGTATTTTCTAGTTCCTGGAGTTCATCATTATGTGACGAATGGAAAACAGTAAATTGTAAAATGTAATTTTAACACAAAATGTCGAACAATGAAAAGTTCCGTTACGTAATAATAACGTAACATATAAATAACACAACTGACAAGGAGGGCATTAACTGAACATTGAACTTTGGATAAGGAAATAAGCTGCAGCTAAAATAGCAGGGAAAAAGATACATTTTGGTATCCAAAGATACACCTAGTTTATTGATCTTTTCAACATGTGGGCGATTTATTTGTCCATTTTAGGCCCAACCCAAAAATTTCAATAAAATCAAATAAAATGTTTGTACTTTCCTACGAATGACCACTTCACACCTACTCCATGTAAATAGAAAAATATAAATCTTTAGCAAACAAAAAAACCTGAATTGTGTGAAGTGAACATGTTTTATGACTGCAATGAAAATTCTTGGCTTTTTTGGGACAATGAACCTTTCTTGAGAGTAAATTATATATATATATATATATATATATATATATATATATATGTGTGTGTGTGTGTGTGTGTGTGTGTGTGTGTATTAACAAAGTCTAGTAATAGGCCATAACATCAATAAAAAAACAATATATTTGTGTAATAATCTATCAAGCCGTTTCCTTCTTATAATTATAAAAAAATATAATGTCAGATTTACTAAAATATCAATATAATTTTCACGCTTTCATCAATTTTTAAACAAACATAATTTAAAAATCTGTTAAAAAAAATAATGAAATTTTATTCCTTAAAGTGTTAACTATGATCGTAGTATATCATAGCTCGAGCGGTTAAATTTTTGTCAAAATCGGTCCAGCCGTTTCTTTTTAGAAAATATAAATACCAAAAATGATAAAACTAAATTTTCGAGATTTTTTATGAATAAAAGTTGTAGTACATTCGATGCACATGAATGTTAACTAATGCCTAACAATTTTATATGAAGATCTGCCAAGCCGTTTCTTTATAATAAATTCAAACTCCGCGAAATGTACGTCAAAATGCCAAACAAAAATACTTGTAAATTTTTATATATTAGAGACTATATTAACTTTCCGTAGGGTAAGTCATAGTAATCGCAAAAAAATCGAAAATGAAAATTTTTATATATCTTTAAGTTTCAAAGGTTTCTGAATATTTTGGCATACCTTAGAAAAAATGGATGTGTATGTGTGTGTGAGCGGATACAGATTTTCGTCGACGATTTTGGAAACACCGATCAACCGATTTGAATAATTCAAAAAACATTCGATTCGTATTGATAAGGAGACGTGCTGATTAGTTTTTGGCGAAGGCAGGTCTAAACGTTCCGAAGATACGAGACAAAAAAGGCCGAAAACGATGACTCAGTTTTTAAGAGAACGGACCGTCCGATTTTAATAATTCAAAAAATATTTTAATACGAAGAACTGATTAAATTTTTAAGAAGGCAGGTCTAGCGGTTATGGACTCTCAATGAAAATAAGTTAAAAAATGCCATTTGGCGGTCAAAAATGGTTATTGGACATATGTACATCAAATTATCAGATATTTTATAGAGATTTTAATAATGTGTACACATTTTGTATAATTTATTTTGGGTTCCGTACCAAGATTTTTAATTATGAAGATTATTTATATGGTTTAAACAAATGTACTCGATATATTTCGAAATTTTTCATCATTTTCAAAAAAAACTAAATTTTGAATAATTTTAAAAAAAAGATTTCTTACAATAATTTGAGAATATTTCGATAATTTCAAAAAAATATTTTCAAAAATTTCAAAATTCTCAAAATATTTGGAAAAATCGTTTTTTTAAACCCCAAAAAATTCCAAACTTTTAAAAAAATGCCAAAATTTTGAAAAAAAATCTAAATTATCAAAAAAATCAAATTAAAAAAAGGACTCTTATAAACGTATTCATAAGTTGTTCATAAAATACGCTCGTCGCACAATTTAAAAAGCACTTATAAGTTTGCAGTATGTAATAAATAATCTATTTGAAATTATTCAAAACAATTGATTATTTTCATTCCTCGAATTTTTAATTACGGTACGGGAAGTTCCAGCAATTTGCCTTAAGGCACAATGCCATGCGCCCCACTATTTAAAATTACCAAATCGGCGGAACCGATTCGGTGCCAAACGATTCAGAATGACTCGACTGATTTTTTCTGCTAAAACATAAACATATCCTCCGGTAATAAATTAGTAATTATTTTTTTGCGTTCTACTTAATTTCATCTTGGGATTTATTCGTGTGTGAAATGAAAACATGCAAATGTACTGATGACATACATTCATACTAATCAAATGGCACTTAAAAACATCATGATATTGCTGAAGACTCTTGAGAAGTAGTTAAATGTTAAATATAAAACAGATCGTCATTAATTTTGTTCTGCACCAGTTAATATATTAGAGAATTTATAGGACTATCTTAATATAAGATAATATAATTTTTTTACTACGCTCAGTGTTCTAGTTTTTCTAGCATCATTTTCTGCTCTTTTAATATTTCTTCAATATCCGAGAAAGGCACGATAGGTATTTCCATCGTGGAAGAAATTGCGAAATAAGAGAACATACGTCGAATAATTTTTAATGTCGAAAGTCGATCGTGTTTGGAATTCTTTCACATTCACACCGACAGTTGTGGCAAAAATCAGGTCCAGTATAAAAAACTAGGTGTAAGTAAAAACGATAAAAAAAAAATTAAAATACGTTCTATAATATATAAATTAAATTTAAACTGGTGGTGCATGGCTTCGTGTCTTGAGGCAAATTGCTGGAACTTCCCGTACCGAAAATTCAAATGTTTAAAAAAATCATTTTAAAAAATGTCCCGAATTTTCTAATTTCATCTAGCTTCACCCTATCTAACTTAAAAAGGGTGCTTTCATATAAAGTTTGTGAGTTTTCAGAAAATGTTTCTAAATCATTCAAATCGTCGATGAAAATTTGTATCCGAACACATACATCCATTTTTTGCCAAAATGTTCAGAAACCTTTGAAACGTAAAAATATTTTTTGCTATTCTATAACTCACCATACTGGAAGTTAAATTTTGCATGAAAAGGTTTGTTTGTAACATTTTTTTTGATGATCCTAAGTTGTTTAAAATTGTTTTGATTAAAATGAGAATTTTATTATTTAAAGTGGGTTCTAAATATTTCTCTAGTTCTTAATTCACTTTAAAATTTTAATAATGCAAAATTCGATTGTCCACATTATTAAATCTGTTAATAACATTAGTTCATAAATCTTGAAAATTTAAAAAAAAACTTCTGAGATAAAATGATTTTGGGGTTTGGCGGTGCCAATTTTTAAAATTAAGAAATAGGTGTAAGTCATTTTAAATACATATGAAGTACACTATTCAAATTTTAAATTTAATTTACAGTTTCATAAAATAATTACAAAAATACTAATGATGTATTTTTTCCCATTACTCACATTCGAGTGTGAAATTTCACTTTCATAATTTTCTACGAATTCACTATAAAGTCTTCCACTTTTAATTTTATTTTTAAAGAAATTAAATGTTGCAAAACAAATATAGCAGATTTTATGTCCGGTTCGCCAAAAATAATATAAAAGAACACATCATCGACTTTTGTGTTCTTTATAATTGTTTCTGCGAATTTGCTGAAGAACAGTTAATTTTTTGCACATGGCCAAATTGCTAAAGTAGTTCTGAGTAAAATATAAAATTGAAATATTGCTCATGGGTAAAAATCTGTTATTTACATTATAATAAACTCGAGAATTAAAATTAGTTTATATTAACTTTAGAATAATTAATAAGAGAAAATAATTAGAAATTTGATCCTCTGGTTACTAATTTAGTAACGTACGTGACAAAATTCTATTGGAACAAAGTTCAAATATTGTTCGTGACTTTATCGAATTGTTAAAATAGCTACAGCTAATTATAATTGGTTTAATTAAAGATTGTTTTGATAAACAAATCCAGAGAAATTCTACGACAAAAATACCAGAGTCGAACTTGTTAAAAAAAATGACACCACTATACACTCGAGTTTAATCTATTATTTACACCAAATTAAATCTACGTCCAAAATCTATAAAAAATGTTTAGGAGAAAAAATGACTAAAAACCAAAAAAATTATCTATCACTTACCTATGGTTACGCAAACTTTGGCGTCCAAATCTCTTCCAGCCAATTGGCTGACTGCCAAAAGGGTGTCACCAAATAAAAGGCAAGTTACGTAATAAGTTTGGCACCTCCAATGTAAAGCATGGTGGTTCCCTGGCACCAAAAAACCAACCGCCAAAGTTGCCAGAAGAAAAATCACACTTAGAGCCAAACCTGAGGGGAAAAATTGCATAAGTTGCAAAAATTGGTAAATGGTTGCCTATTTGGCACTCACTTATCGGATAAAGTGTGTATCTAAGTTCGTCGTAAGTATCAACAGGCGTCTTCACAATAGGAATATCCCCGATACAAGAAAACACATGCACTTTCTGCAAATCCTCCTGCAGGTTGACATTGTTCATCTCCGACAAATCCCTGGAGGTGATCTTGGTCCTGATTTCAGGATCCGTCATCGTATTTCCATCACTGACATCATTGTACGTCAAAGCAGTATCAGGTTGAAGACGTTTCTGCAACTCCTGTACGTAAAATCAACGTTAAACAAATTGTAGGGCGGTGGAAGCCCAGTGGTCATCATTCTTTACTTACCTGGAAATTATGCGGCAATGCTCTCTCGATGCAAAAGGCCGACGGCAGCAGTGTTGTCGAATCCGAAGGGCTTGTTTCGATGAATAAGGACCCGTCCTTTTGCACCCTTACAATATTTGAAGGTAAAGCATTGATGGCAAAGCCTGCGTGTCCTATTTTGCACGTTGGGAAACTTGAGACGAAGGATACTGTTGTGTTTGAAGGGTCTTCCAGCTGAAAAAATAAAGGATTAATGAGAATGAGAGATAATGAGAAGAATTAATATATGTTATGAGTTTTGTGTCAAAATCGGTCCAGACGTTTTGTAGTAATAAATACAAAAGGCGAAAAGTGTACCTCAAACAAGCAAACATGGTAGAATATGGTAAACTCTAATTAGGATTACTCGCTAAATAGTGAAAGGATGTTAGTGAATTAAACATCAATCGATGCACATGGATGTTGACTATTAACTGTCAAGTTTGTGTACAGATCATTCAAGCCGTTTCTTTTAAAAAAAAATACAAACGTCAACAAATGCACACCAAACTTAACTACTTGCCAACGGATACTGTAAAATTCAAATAAGATTACTTAAGAACGAATACTGGATATTAATAATTTAAACACTATTCGATGCACCTGGATGTTGACTATTAACTATAAATTTTGCGTACAGATCGGTCAAGCCGTTTCTTCATAACATTGAAAAACTTACATGAAACTATAAGTTTTGCCGACGCTAATACGTCTGATAATGTAAATTTCGAATAAGATTACTCGAAACTGACTTGATGGATTTTAATAATTTAAAAACCATACGATACATATGGATGTTGTCTATGAACTATAAATGTTGTATGCAGATCGGTCAAGCCGTTTCTTTTTAATTTAGGAAAATACACATGGACAAAAGTACTTGTATGACTCTTGAGTGTTAGATTTTGTAAATTCCGAATAAGATTACTCGAAACTGAGTCGTTGGATTTTAATAATTTAAAAAGTATTCGATACATATGAATGTTGACTATTAACTGTCAAATTTATGTACATATCGGTCAAGCCGTTTCTTTAAAAAAAATAAACTGTCAAAAATGCACATCAAGCTAAAGTACTTGCCCACAGATATTGTAAATTTCAAATAAGATTACTCGATAACGAGTTGACGGATTTTATTAAATTAAATTTTATTCTATGTACCTGGATGCCGACTACTAGCTGTGAATTTTATGTACAGATTGGTCAAGCCGTTTCTTTATAATATCGAAAAACTTACACCAAACTGTAAGTTTTGCCGAAAAAATACGAACTACGAAAAATGCGCATCAAACTAAAGTACTTGCTTATAGATGCTGTAAATTCCAAATAAGATTACTCAAGAACGAGTTAACGGATATTAATAATTTAAACACCATTCGATACATATGTATGCCGACTATGAACTATAAATTTTGTGTACAGATCGGTCAAGCCGTTTCTTTTGAAAACATAAAAATGTGGAAATGGGGGCGTAGTACTAAAATATGTACCTCTAATAGGTACAGAGCAGTTTTACTTTATTCATATTTTTAGTAATTTCTTGAAAATTTTGCATGTAAAGATATTGACTTTAGTACTCACTGTCATAGTATATATATCTGAGAATATTATATTCAAATTGTATATTTCTAGTGCATGTAGATTGTCCTGCAGAGTTCCTTGAATATCACATTTTGGCGCAGAATAACGATTTAATTTTGATGAGTTTTAGGTACTTCATTTAAATTATTAAGATCTTTTTGTAATTTTTGTATTAAAAGTCATTGATTTTAGTATTTGTTATCCAAGTATATATATTCAGGAATGATATATTAAAATTATAGATTTCTAGCACATATAGTTTGACCTGAAGAGCTCATTTAATATGTCATTTTTGTTAACAAAAACTGGTGAAAATAAACTTCTTCAGAAAATTAATAGTAAACTATATAGGAAACGTTGGAATTTTACAACTTGCGGCTAAATATGGTTCAAAGGCAAATTTATTTGCCTTTTACCAAAAATTTTATAGCACCTGCTACCTGATTTTCAGGTATTCCAGGCCCATCTGTTTTTAGGCGCCTGTCCTAATAGGTGTTACCTGACAGATAAAAATCTTTTTAAAATAATCCGCCAAACAGGTAATTTTAGGTAATTAGTTGAAGTGGAAAAAAGTTGAAGTGGTAATTTTATTTAAAAATTTTAAAAGAAACTTGGGTGAACATTTTTCGAATTATTAACTTTATAAAGTACTGTTTTTAAGGAGCTCGTAAAAATGCTAAAGTATGTACTAGAAAAGCACAATTTTAATGTTATTATTTAATATATATTGATAAATAATAAATTCTAAAATTTAAAATTTTATCATGTTTTAGGAATAATTAGTAATTTCATCAAAATATGTACTACACTCGGCCTCGAAGTAATTCCTTTTTCATAGTATAGTTTACAAAGTCATTTTTAAGAAGCTCGTAAGGACATAAGAATTGTAGTAGATGGTTGTAACTTTAATATGTTATTCCCCAATATGTGCTTTAAATACCCAATACTAAAATTTTACCAATTCAATTTCATTTTTAAATAATAAGCAACTTTGCACCCAAGTGTCGTCACCCAAACAACTATTAATTCCACATACATAACTATTTTTTTAATACTTTTATATACTAAATTTAATTACGAAATATGTAAATTTTAATGACGTCTGGTTTAAACTATTTAAAACCCATCATATCCTATTTTAAAATAAATTTTTATTACTTTTCCAACTCGACAATGTCTCATTTACCAGTACGTGACTCGAATAAGCAACTTTTGACTTTTGGCGAACGAATTCATTAGCATAAATCATATTTCTTTGACAAAACCTTATTATATTTATTCTATTCATGCCTTTAAATAATTTTGCAAAAGAAAATACTTGAAATTTTGAAGTAGATACTTCTTTAGGCATTAAATGCAACTCATCAAAATTGATTTGATACTATGAGACACAAAACAAAAGTTATATTTAAGGAGCTCTTCAGGACAAACTGCATGCACAAGAAATCTGTAATTTTACTATATCATTTCTGAATATATATACTTTCATAGTGAATACTAAAATTTGTAACTTTTCATACAAAATTTCCCAAAAAATCCAAATACCATGAACAAAGTACCTCATCAAAACCCTTTCGCAACAATTAGAGGTTCCAACCCAGTTTCCTTTTATAAACACAGTCTAAGACTCTTATATAAACTATTTAGTGGCGGGATTAGCTCAAGAGTAGCGTTCCCGATTCACATGCTGGAGGTTCCGAGTTCGAATCTCCGGCCAGAATTTGAAAAATAATATTAACTAGTTGGAATAATAATAGAATTATAAATTGTACTAATAAAATATGTATGTAAAATCAAAATGTATAAAAATTAGATAAGTAGAATTTAAAAATGAATTGAAGTAAGAAGTAATGAGAAGTATAGAAGAAAGAAGAAATAGTGGTTAGAAGATGAAGTGAGATGATAGTAAAAGAAGAATGAAGATAAGTTAGTTAAGAAGTATAGAAGAAGAATAGGATTATATGAAGAAGAAGATAGTATAAAATTGAAGATTGTATATGATTGTATAGAATAATGTAGGTGGCTAAATGCTCGAGTAAGCGAGGCCAAAAAAAAAAAAAAAAAAAAAAACTATTTAATTTCCCAATTTCCAAATTCCATCATTACATTCTCTTGCCAGAAATTAAACTGCAGTTTTGCTAAAATTTTAATGGAATCCCCAGAGTGCAATTTTAGTATTAAATTTAATGTCGAAACTTTGCCTAATTTAATTACATCACCGGAGTAGATTTTCGTGTATGGAAATTAGGAATTCCCCGGGAAAATTGGATAATAAATATTAAATTATGAAAATTGGATAATAAATAGTAAATCATAAAAATTGGATAATAAATTTAACTAACTGCCCATTTTTTTTTTTTGAAGTTAAACTACTACTAGCTCTAATAATAATACTAATAGTTGTGAAGCTTGTAACTATTTTAATATATACATAAGTTACTTTCAATGTCGATTTTAAAGTATATCGAGTTGCTGTAGATCGTTGTAATATTAGAAAATATTAAAGATTATTTAATTTTGAACAAATTTGCCGAATATTTCATTTATTTTGGACAAACGGTTCAAAAGTTACAAGAGATATGATAAATAGATGCATGAATTCACTTATTGAAATCCTGGGTAGGTGTTTAGATTTATATCTATTTTCAAATAATATTTTAAAGTATACCGAGTTGCTGTAGATCGTTGTAATATTAGAAAATATTAAAGATTATTTAATTTTGAACAAATTTGCCGAATATTTTATTTATTTTGGACAAACGGTTCAAAAGTTACAAGAGATATGATAAATAGATGCATAAATTCACTTATTGAAATCCTGGGTAGGTGTTTAGATTTATATCTATTTTCAATTAATATTTTAAAGTATACCGAGTTGTTGTAGATCGTTATAATGTTAGAAAATATTAAAGATTATTTAATTTTGAACAAATTTGCCGAATATTTTATTTATTTTGGACAAACGGTTCAAAAGTTACAAGAGATATGATAAATAGATGCATAAATTCACTTATTGAAATCCTGGGTAGGTGTTTAGATTTATATCTATTTTCAATTAATATTTTAAAGTATACCGAGTTGTTGTAGATCGTTATAATGTTAGAAAATATTAAAGATTATTTAATTTTGTACAAATTTGTCAAATATTTTATGTCTTTAAGACGAATAGTTTTAAAGATACAACACCCACCAGATATAGATACAGTTTTATTAAACATTTTAGTTCTCAGCAGTTGTATTTTCAATTTAATTCAAATCGGAATGAAAATATTTAATATATATATATATATATATATATATAATATATTAATCGTTTCGTATTCGATATCGATAATATAAACAAAATAAGAATATTTTATAAATAATTCTGACGAAAAATGCCACGACATGGAATTCTATTTAGCGATTAAATTTCTTTGATATATATATATATATATATATATGTATATATATATGTATATATATATATATATATATATATATATATATATATATATTGCTATTGCTATTGCGACAAATATAATACTATTCGCAGAAACTTAATGGTTAAATTAATTTGATTGTTATATATTTATTTTATAACCGCATATGTAATATTAATAAAAATTAAATGAACTTTTATAAAATTAAATAATCTATAATATTTTCTAACATTATAATATACTTTAAAATCGCTTTTGAAAGACCATCATTTTGAAATAACATTGATGCAGTCGTTTTTTTTATTTCATGTAACTCCTAAACCGTTCGTGTAAAATACCTGAAATATTTGACAAATTTGTACAAAATTAAATATTATATAATATTTTCTCACATTATAATGCTGTACAGCAATTCGGCATACCTTAAAAATGCAATTGAACATGAGCATTAAATCCTACTTCGCTATCAACAATTTAAAAAATGATTGCACTTTAATCGAGTTTTGATTAATTTTCTGATTTAAATAGCTTTGTTTATATTTTAAAGTATACCGAGTTGCTGTAGAGCATTATAATGTTAAGAAATATTGTAGGTAATTTAATTTTGTATAATTTGTCGAATATTTCATTTATTTTGAACAAATCGTTTAAAAGTTGCATGAGATGAATAAATGTCCTCAAGCCCTATTGCGTTTCTGGATTGCATAGTTTGCATTCAGATGCAATTTTAAAGTATACCGAGTTGCTCTAGGGCACTATAATAAAGCAATATAGACAATTTAACTTTGTATGAATTTACCAAATATTCTATTTAAATTCGACAAACCGTTTAAAAGTTACAAGAGATGTAATATATAAATGTCCTAACAACCAATTAAGTTTTCAAGCCAGTCATGGAATCAATAGTCCACTTTCAAAAGCGATTTTAAAGTATACCGAGTTGCTGTAGGGCTTTATAATGTTAAAACAAATTATACACAATTTAATTTTGCACAAATTTCCAGAATATTCCATTTATATCAAACAAACCGTTCAAAAGTTACATCAAAACTCCATTTATATAAAACAATAATTATCTCAATCTGGACATACGGCATTGAGCTATGGGCGTGCGCAGGCAATTCAAATATAAAAATAATACGAAGAGCGCAATCCCTGGTATATTACAAATGACACTCTACATAAATATTTAAAAATAGAAACTATTAATGAAATGATAAAAGAAAGGAGCAAAAATAGCACGAAAAATTACCAGGTCACCCAAACAAATATCTAAAAGAATTAAGCGCGGAATATCCTACTCGAAGTTACGATCTCAAATAAAATGTCAAAAAATTTAAAAAAAAAGAGATATCTCATAGAAGATAATCTTTTAAATACATTTACACCCAGAATATTGCCTTAAAAATGCATATTATTTTGGTTGGTAATAAAATAAATAAATATTTTAGGCAAATAAAAAAAAAGTTACATAAGATTTATTACCTGTACATCGAAACTCCTAGATTGCCCCAAAGCACCCTGGACAACCACACAAGTAGCATTGTCTCTACTATAAGCACCACCTTCACCACAACACTTCCTGATTTTAATTTTCTTTTTATTCACCAACCTGGCATCGATATAGGCCTCAACCTGTTCAGTAACATTGGCACCAGCCTGACTGTCCAGGTCACAAACCATGGCAGACAATTTATCGATACAAAAATCCTTCGGGTCATACAAAACATGGTGCTCTTCTACAAAAAGACTCCCATTTGCCAACATGTAGTAATTCAGATAAGGAACAGCCAGGTGAACTAATTTTGGTTTAATCCCGAACCCACAAAAGGGCCTACTGAGTTCCTTCAATTGCCAATTGCTAGGGATAATTTTACTATTGAGGAAGACTTTTCGGGCTGGTGCATAGATTTGAGGTAACCAGTTTTCCCCGAGACCAGGAATACATTGTAAGTCGTCTTCGGAGTTGGCCAGATTTGATGGATCTAATTGTTGTAACATTTCCCCAAGACGACAGCATTTTTGCACTACAACTGTTGGTAGACGTTTTGACCAGGATTGGTGCAGGAATATTAGAACCAGGATTGGAAGAAGACGCATTTTCGGGTTTTACATGGGAAGGTTTGCACTGTAAAGTCACATGTAGTTTATATCACTAAAGTCAAAGCACTAAAGTTTGTTTTGGTTTTTCTTGAAAATCCTGAAAGGAAAATTGGTGTTGATGAAGTATTCACAAAGGATTTAGGACCAGTAAAAATTGTAAGAGCAAATATGATTTTTCAGGAAAAATGTTGACCATTAAGTCTAAATATGACGACCATTGTCGTTTTCTTGGAATACTATTTAAAAATATTTACAGTAGTTGAATATAACTTTAATATTAAATAAAATTTTAGATAATCTAATAATCTATAATTTTATCTAAGATTGTATTAAGATTTAATTTCAAATTGGCAAATTACATAATTAAATACAAAAAGTGAGAAAAAATTTAGATTGTTTGCATAAATTTTAAAAAATATTTAGGGTGGTTGAAGATAGTTTTAATGTTAGATAAAATTTCAGATTAACAAATAATCTAAAACTAGATTATCTAATAATCTACAAGTTCGTCTAAGATTATATTATTAAGACTTTTAGATTTAGAAATAGACTTTTTAGAGGATAAAATATTATATACAACGTCTACAAGAGCCTAGATAATTGTTTTATATTCAAATGCAATTTTTAAATATACCGAGTTGCTATAAGGCATTATAATGTTAGAAAATATTATAGTTTATTTAATTTTGTACAAATTTGTCAAATATTTTATTTATATAAAACGAACCGTTAAAAAGTTACAAGGGTTATAGTAAATAAATGCTTAGATAAATTGCATTTGGAAACAAACCGTGATTGAATACTGTTATCTAATCTATAATAAATAATCTAATTGCTTTAGGGCATTATAATGTTAGAAAATATTATAGATTATTTAATTTTGATTAAATTTGCCAAATATTTTAATTAAATTGGACAAACGGTTTGAAAGTTACAAGAGTTATAACAAACAAATGCATGAATGAATTTCATGCCAATTCGAGAACAAAACGTGATTGAATACTCATATATATTGTTTATATTCAATTACATTTTTAAAGTATACCGAGTTGCTGTAGAGCGTTATAATGTTAGAAAATATTGTAGATTATTTAATTTTGTACAAAATTATCAAATATTTTATTTATATAAAACGAACTGTTAAAAAGTTACAAGGGTTATAGTAAATAAATGCTTAGATAAATTGCATTTGGGAACAAAACGGGATTGAATACTGTTATATAAGTTGTTTATGTTCAATTGCATTTTTAAAGTATACCGAGTTGCTTTAGGGCATCATGATGTTAAAAAATATTATAGATTATTTAATTTTGTACGAATTTGCCAAATATTTTAATTAAATTAGGCAAACGGTTTAAAAGTTACACGAGATATAATAATGCACGGATAAAAAGATAAAAATATTAAAATTTTAAGTAATAAGTGTTCTAAAATTTGATAAATATTTATAAAATACTTATGGAAAAATACGCATTCAACAATATTTTTAAAACTACATCATTGTACATTTTTTAGACTTTTTAAGCCACAAATCAATTTTATAATATTTTTGTTCTTTTTTCAATTCTCCGTAAAAAGATAAAAGTATTAAAATTTCAAGTAACAACATGTTTTCTCAAATTTATTAAATATTTCTGAAATATTCACGAAAAAACGTGCATTCAACTATATTTTAAAAACTACATTATTACATTTTTTTTAACTTTTTGGGCCAGAAATCAATTATTGCAACTTTTTTTAAATCAAAACTGTCTAAATTATTATATAGCTTTCATAATTATTAATTTTTTTTAATCAATATATAAATATGTGAAAAAATTTGCAAAAAAATCTAACAAAATTAAAATTAAATAATAAATAAATAAATAAAATAAATATCTCAAATATAAAGCTTTTGCAACTTGAAATTTTACAGTAGCATTAAAATAATTTTATTTAAAATTTAACACGAATAAAAAGCCTTTACACGTTTTTTCTTTAAATCACAAAAGTTTTAAAAAAAATTTTGGGTTTACTGAAATAATTAAATCTCAAGATAATATTAAAAATAAAAATATGTACAAAACTAATTTTAATTAAAATGAACAACAAATTAAATTAATTATTTTTAATTTGTAAAAGACAAAAAATGATCAGGATTTAGGCTTTAACAAATATTTACAGAACAAAAATAATTTTTGCACGTTTTTTTGTAAACTATTAAAAAAAATATGTACAAAACAAAAATAATTTTAACCACAAATTAAATTCTAATAAATTTAAAATTAAAAGACAAAATGATCAGTAAAAAGTATTTACAGTACAAAATAATTTTTGCGCGTTTTTTGTAAACGATTAAAAAAAATAAGTACAAAACAAAAATAATTTGAAATACGAATTAAATTAATTAGTCAAAGACAAAATAACCAGTAAAAATATTTACAGTACAAACGATTGAAAAAAATATGTACAAAACCAAAATAATTTGAACCACAAATTAAATTAATTAGTCTAAAAGACAATCAGTAAAAAATATTTACAGGGCAAAATAATTTTTGCACGTTTTTTGCAAACGATTAAAATATTATTTTGGGCTGAATGAACAAACAAAAACTAATAATTAGAAGAATTAAAATATTCAAGATAAAAAACTAAAAGTAATAATAATAATAATAAATTAAGATATTCAAGATAAATATATTTACAGCACCAAATTTAAAATTAATTAATTAAAATTAATAAGCAATTTTTTTGATATGCTGAAGTAAAGTTAAATGCCTAAAATATTTTTATGGTCTTATGAAACAAATACCAAAAAGGATAAAAATATTTTCATTAAAAATTCGGTACAAAATTAAAAGGACAAGACCTTTTAATCAAATCCAAATGCAAATTCATATCAATTCATCAAAATTTGAAAAAAATATTTAAAATAGTTCAAATGCAAATTCATATTATTATAAGGAAATTGAAGACAAAGAAGACTGAAGAATTATATCAAAATTATTTTTTAATTATAATAGATATTATATTAATGAAATAGTAAAATGAGATGAATATATAAAATATGAAAACTGTTTTTCATAATCTCTCATACCAGGCACCTCTGCCTGACTGAAATATGAAAATAATGTATATATATAAATAAAAAAAAATAATAATAATATTAACTTTGCACTTTTAAGACCTCAAATTAATTTATAAAATTGATTTTTAAATACCACAACACTTTTGCCTAAAAATATTTTTATGGTTTTATAAAACAAATACCAAAAAGAATAAAAATATTTTCATTAAATACAAAATTAAAAGGACAAGACCTTTTAATCAAATCCAAATGCAAATTCATATCAATTCATCTAAATTTGAAAAAATTTGAAATATTTAAAAAATTTGAAAGTATTTAAAACAGTTCAAATGAAAATTCATATTATTATAAGGAAATTGAAGACAAGGAAGACTGGAGAGTTAAATATATAGATATTTTAATTATAATAGATATTATATTAATGAAATAGTCAAATGAAATGTATATATAAAATATGAAAACTGTTTTTCATAATGTCTCATACCAGACACCTCTGTCTGAGAGACTATATATATAAATAAAAAAAAATTAACTCTGCACTTTTAACACCGCAAATTAATTTATAAAATTAATTTTAAATACCACAACACTTTTGCTTACCCAAAATTAAATAAAAACACTCATATACACTTTTAAAAATAAAATAAAACCCACTTTTATATATAAAATAAATAACTATATATCCACTTCCATCAACCATCCACTTTGACCTCAAAATTTAACACAAACTCTGCACTACTTTTTGCAAACTTTCACCGCACTATTATATAACTAACAAAATAACTAAAAAAAACTATTTATTAATCATTTTATAATATTTCGTACAAAATTCGTCTTTACCATGTGCACGTTTCCGTATTTTATTTCAAACTAACATTAAAAGAGGTTTCATGTTCCTATGAGGCCAGCAAGAACGTTAGCCCCTCTCTTCTTCAAGGCAGATGTTTTAGCCCCACCACTGAATTAACGGTATTTTTGTAGGTAGAAAAATGGTAAATGGTATTGGTATATGGTAATGGATATATGGTAATATGTTTTTTAATTGGTTTAGGTTTTATTGGCAAAATTTAGGTGTCGTTTTCGTTTGGTAAAGTTGCAAAGAAGTCGATGAGTTGGTTCAGGTGCGCTGAGAGTTCGAGTCTTTGCTGAAGGAAAGTTTGGTTGTTGTCGAGTAGATGGCAAGAGCGGTTAATTTAAATTAGATAAATATAAACTAGTGGTGTATGGCATCGTGCCTTAAGGCAAATTGCTGGAACTTCCCGTACCGTAATGAAATATTCGAGAAATTTTAAACATTAATAACAAATACAGTAACTTTCATTATTTTTGCTATCTTTTTATATCTGAGCAAATCAAATGTAAACTAGCTGTAAGTGGAATTCTGTCTTAAGGCAATTAAGGCATCGTGCCTTAAGGCGAATTGCTGAAACTTCCCGTTAATTAAAAATAATCAATAATGATCAATAAAAGTTGATCATTGATTTGAAACTTTTAATAGAATTTCGAACCATATTAAATCATCTTAAATAATTCTATCTTAAATCATTTATTTTGACTATTATATTTTCGAAATTCTGAACTTTTTATCAAAGCAATCGTACTGCTTTAACTGCATAAAGACGAAATATCGAAGCGCGTAAGCGCCGCGTCGCCGTCTAACGCGTCAAAATTGGTACGTAACCCATAGAAATATAAACAAAATTTATACTTATTGTTAAAGTCTCTATAAAATATCTAATTATTTGATGTGCATATGCCTAATATTCATTTTTGACCGCCAAATGGCTCATTTTTTTACTTTTTTCTCCATATCTTCAAAGTCGTTACACCTGCCTTTTCAAAAATTTGAACAGTTCTTCACTCAGCTAATACAAATAAAATATTTTTTGAATTATTCAAATCGGACGATCCGTTCTCTTAAAAACTGAGTTACCGTTTTTGGCACTTTTTGCCTCGTATCTTCGGAACGGCTAGACCTGCCTCCGCCAAAAACTAATTAGCACGTCTCCTTATCAATACAAATCGAATGTTTTTTGAATTATTCAAATCGCTTCATCCGTGTTCCCGAAATCGTCGACGAAAATTTGTATCCGCACACACACACACACATACATTCATTTTTTCTAAGGTATGCCAAAATGTTCAGAAACCTTCAAAACGTCGAGAAACGCAAAAAATTTCATTTTCGATTTTCGGCCTATTACTATAACTACACCACGGGAAGTTAAAAAAACAATAAGTTGTTTTGTGGATGTTTAATTGCGACGTTTCGAAACTCGATAAGTTTCATCATCAGGTTTTTCAGTCAAAACCGATTTTTTATAAATGTGAAACAATATTGATGAATATATATATTTATGATAATAGAATGCCAAAACAAATTATAAATTATGTACATTTTGCCTTAAAGAAAATTTGTATTAAAAAATATTACAAATTCAAAAGCAAACATTATTTACCTGCTATAATTAATTAACATAAGATAATTAATTATATAAATTTATAGATGAAAATTGCAGGTAAATAATAATTTTTGTTTTTCAATTTCTAATATTATTATTATTTTTTTTTATTAAAATGTAAATAAATCCTTTTTTTTATAAGTTTTATAACATTCTCTGTAATAATCAAAGTATTCATCAATATTGTTAGTATATATAAAAAAATGTTTTTGAGAGAAAAAAATTATGGAACGTATCTAGTTCCGAAACGTCGTAATAGAAACGAATTGTTTTTTAATTTATTGGATTAATAATTAATAAAAAAACAATATATATATATATATATATATATATATTAAATGTTAAATATGAACAACACAACACTCAGATTTTTAACACACACTTTATTTGGTAATTACAGACGTTTCGAGACCATGGTATGCCTCATCTTCAGTGTAATTTCAAAACAGTTACTTATATACTACACATTCTTTAATATTTTATTTAAATTATATTTAATTTTTGAAAATCCATTTATTTACATTATAATAATACCCATCCTGTCTCTTCATCTCGATACTTAAGATTTGTGTGGGAGTAGTGATGTTATGATAATAAATAAAATTAGAAACTCCCAACATAATAAAAAAAATATAAATTTATTAACTATGAAAATATTTCGATATCCTAAAATATACATGACATGTTCCATTGTTTTTTACAAATCAAAACCAGCCTGCTTGATATCGCCACACACTCCCTGCCCAGTGTTGATCTCACAGTTTAAAAAAAAATACAGGGAAACACGTTATAAAAATGTGGTGGGAAAGCAGATTATAGCAGACCAGTGTTGTAATACTGGTCAATTACCAATTTCCATGTTTCGTCAGCAGATCCACCGTATGTGGTGATTTGACCTGCCATCAACTCCATATTCTGCATAATGTTCTCGATCTAATGGGTATTAGTTATATCAGAATAACTTAATGTTTAGAATGCATAATTTATGGGTACAGTTTCCATTTCTGCAAGCGTTGCATTCGTATCTGATGAGTTCCGATCAGAGAAAGAAGTTGGCTCTTTATCCAAATCAGGATCATTGGTTTCTTTGACATAAGAGTCCAAAATTGTGGAATCCAATAAATTATGTCAAATTTTGTTTTGATTCGTCGTTGTCACCGATAATGGGAGGTAGCATTATAAGACGATTTATTGAGTTAACAGAGAAAGAGAGGTTGAATTGCATTCCAATGAAAAGTTCAGGCTCCAAATTATTTTTTCTGTCAGCAATAAACACTGAGGTCTGGGTATACCAAATGAGTAACCTCGGAAGTCTGATCCAGATAGTAAGTGCGTTAACTATGATGGATTGGACTGGACATACCGTATAGGTCGTCACTGAAGACCAGTGATTATGGTGCTGCGTCAAAATCAATTTTTCTTAAATCTTCGAAAAATAAAACTCCTTTTTTTTGTCTTCATCTCCATCGTCGTGAGTCACCAATGTGGGAGTAGTGATGTTATGATAATAAATAAAATTAGAAACTCCCAACATAATAAAAAAAATATAAATTTATTAACTATGAAAATATTTCGATATCCTAAAATATACATGACATGTTCCATTGTTTTTTACAAATCAAAACCAGCCTGCTTGATATCGCCACATTTGTTTAAAATATTTCACATGTTTTAGTGCTATGTCAAGCTCTGTAAGTGATAGTTGGTGTTTTTTGTATTTTCAAAAATTAAATGTAATTTAAATGAAATATTAAAAAATGTGTAATATATAGGTTATTGTTTTTGAAATTACACTGAAGATGAGGCATACCATGGTCTCGAAACGTTTGCAATTACCAAATAAAGTGTGCGTTCAAAATCTGAGTGTTGTATTGTTCATAATTAACATTATATATATATATATATATATATATATATATAAGTATTCTTGGGCATCATCTAATAATTAAATAAAATTAATAAAAAAATGTCTTTTTTATAGTAGCAAACGTTTTGAGACTTGGTTTAAGTTTTATAAATCTTTTCATTTATTCTAATTTAATATTTAATTATTAAATAAAATCTTGTTATATAACTATGTGTTAGATAAATTAGTTTTCACATTTTTCTTTAATAAATTTGTTTAATTATTGGAAGGATGCTCAAGAACTATATATATATATATATATATATATATATATATATATATATATATTTCACCTCTAAAAAAACTTCATGCTTCATTTATATATATATATATATATATATATATATATAATATATATAAACATGTAAATTATAAAATATATATAGATGCAATATATATTTATTACTCTGAGTATATAAAACTGTCATAATCTGTCCTTAAAACTAGATAAAATATAAATTTGGTACATAGCATGTTATCTAAAACCTCTATCCTCCTCCTCCTAACTCAATTCCTCATCAGCATAACAATGTTTCAACCTTGGATTACGATAAGTATTCTCAAATTTCACACTCGATGAACTGGTCCTGCATTTGGTGAGACACAATTCATACTGATCTCTAACCGAAGCTAATACTGCACTGTGACGATCCGAAGCCTTCTGGAAGATCTTTTCCAGGATTTGTTTCTTTTCGGGACGAAGGCAGCAGGATACACAAAATTCGTATATTGCACAGCAGTGGTTCTTGTTGCAGGACTCACAGTTGTACTGGAGCCCTGAGGCGCAGCAGTTGTTTGGGAGTAGATCTGAACGCTGGCAAACCACACCTGGGGGATAAATGACACATGGGTATATATATATATATATATATATGTATATGTCTATTATCTTACCTCTATCATCCACTATAAGATATCGCCCTTGTACAGAATTTCTACAAACCAACGACAAGTCAGAAGAATTGGAATTGATCACCTCATCAACTCTCCATACAAACGGATACTGTCTTTTAATTTCAACATCGACATTACTGGTAGCTCCTGGCTAAAATCAAAAACAACCACATAAACAAGAACCACAAACCAAGGTAAATTTTACAATTCTATTCTCCTAACCTCTTGTACTAAATTGACAACACAGTAGATCAAAGAAAATGCGAATATGATTCCTAAAACTAGTCGTCGACGCAGAAACCTTAAGAGGTTTACAAGAAACATATTTATTACATTTTTGACAAATGTTTTATAAATTTAATGCACGATTAATTTTGTTTGGTTAATCATTATTAAAAATGCAACGACGCAGCTTCTTGTGATCAACTGTCAACTTGACAGGAGGAATGGACACACGAGTAGTGTGAAGTTGGCAAAAAGATAGGTGAAAGTTGATGAATAGTTGGCGGCATTTTTAAATTTGAAATGTAATATATACATTTTCAGATTTACTTGGTTTAAATAAGCGTTTACAAGTAACATATTCATTACATTTTTGACAAATGTTTTATAAATTTAATGCATAATTATTTTTGTTTGGTTAATCATTATTAAAAATGCAAAGCGCAGCTTCTTGTGGTCAACTGTCAACTTGACAGCCAAATGGACGCAGAACTGGTGTGAAGTTGGCAAAAAGATAGGTGACAGTTGATAAATAGTTGGCGGCATTTTTAAATTTGAAATGTAACTTTTAAAATTCTTGGTTTATTAGATTTCTTAGGCTTTTTGCCTTAAGGCAAAATGCATAAACTTTTCGATATGCCTAAATAATAGACGTAGAAATCAATAAATTAATTTATAAATATGTAGAGTTGCTGTAGGGTGTTATAATGATATAAAATAATGCAAAGTATTTATTTGCTAAACAAACTAATACTGTGTATGCCTTAAAAGCACCTTGCAAACTTCAATAAATTTATATAATTAAACCACTACCCATAAGCCTATAATATTTTAGGTATATCTAGGCGAATTTTCATTGAAATCATTTCCGTTTGTTAATAAAAATCATTTTATTAATTTACAAATTTATCTCCTAATTATAATACTAATAGTTATTCTACTAAAACCCTGGATTCCATTCAGTGAATTGTGGTACATGATTAACCTTATAGCATACTACACGATCACCTTGCTTAATTTCAATACTCTGGTCTTCGAACCTCAAACCGCACTCAATGTCCTTTTTTATGGTGTCCACCTCTGTCTTGACGTGTCTCATGGACACTAATTTACCCTGATGGATTACTTCACCGTCTCGTTCCAGACGATACAGTGAACTTTTCTTTAATGAACCTGGGAAATAGATAATTGTAATTAAAATATATATATATATATATATATATATATATATATATATGTATATATACATATATATATATATATATATATATTATATATATATATATATAGTATGTATATATATATATCTAGTATGTATATATATATATCTATCTATATATATATATATATATATATATATATATATATATATATATGGAGCTCAAAATTATGTAAGATTAGCTGAATCTCGAAAACGGCTGCACCGATTCGGCCACTTTTAGTCTTAAAATATTTAATCTAATCCAGAGGTTGTGCAAAAGGTGAGAAATTATTTCAAAACCGCGTAGAAACTTTACATTCGATGGCAATTAGTTTTGACGAATTATTTATTATTATCTTTACCTTGCGTGCATCTGCAACCCATTACTGTAACTTTGTGCTTGCCTTCGTTTATTGCAAATGTCTGCAGAACTGTTGCCTCTCCAATAATCTCTTCGACAGGTTTTAATGGCAGTTTGTTAGATATTTCTTCTTTGAGATCATCGACTAACCTGGAAATTGAAAAAAACAAAATTACAAGCTGCTACTGGCTTCAACAAAGATTCTGATAAAACTTTGCAAGGTTTTAGAGTTTATAATCGAAACAAAGCCTATGGGAAAAGCTTGGAATATAATAATAAAAAGCAAAGTTTCTTTAAATTCGCGAGAACACATGAGATATCTATAAAACCAAAATTACGATGAACTCTAATACATTTTCTATTTACCTATAAATTATATCGAAATGCTTCACTTTAACATTCCCCGGTATGTTAAGGTGCTCCTTAACTTTAACATTAAAAGCATAAATAACAGAATTGAAAGTCTTGGCAGCAACGACATCATTCTCAGTAACATCTCCGACTCCATAATGAACCAAATCCAAAATACAATCGTCTTCATGGTGATAAGTGTCCAGGACATCTAAAATAGCCTCTACTGATCCATGGACGTCCCCTTTGATGATAATAGAGACACTTGGGGGGCCACTTTTGTCGTCGACGTACTCTTTGGGCCTAGGGCCGGTTCGGCGATTTTTGAAGAACCCTTTTTTGCGTCGGGCTTCTCTTTCTGCTTTGTAAACCTGGGGAAAAAAATAAATGTAGTGTACTGTAAAATGAGTAAAGGACTTGCAAGTCCTCTGAAAAGTACAAGCAACCTTTACATTTACAATAAACTACCGGACGAACTAAAGACAATGATAAACCAAAACAATTTCAAAATTAAATTAAAAAATTACATAAGAAATAAATGAAACAAATGAGATAAAATTCCTTACTTTAAACACTATATTACTTCTGTTCTGTAAAAATATTAATTACAATTAAGTATAAGTACGCATGTATGTGCGCAAGCGTTCTGTGTATATATGTGTATATAATAGTAATAAGTGAAAATTATCTTGTATTGTTAGACAATGCTGTTTATTATTTGATTTTTCACAAATTTCCCAAAGACACCTTTTAAATATTACAAATATTTTAAAAGTTATAAATTATTTAATAAATAAATGTAGTTTTGCTCATTTTCTTGATAAATTGTTCCCATTTAGTAATTTTCTTTTCTAAAATGTTTCATATGTACTATAAATACTTATATATACTATACTATATATAAAGTGTTCTAGAAATATTTTTGTGACTAAACAACGTTTGCCGGACCAGCTAGTATATATGTACACCTTTTAAAATATTTTTAACTTCTAGTAGGGTAAGTTATTGTAATGGGCCGAAAATCGGAATTGAAAATTTTTACATTTCTCGACGTTTTGAAGGTTTCTGAACATTTTGGCATACTTCAGAAAAAATGGATGCGTGTGTGTGTGTGTGTGTATGTATGTATGGATACAAATTTTCGCCCACGTTTTCGGGCGTACGGATCAACCGATTTGAATGGTTTAAAAAACATTCGATTCCTTTTGATAAGGAGATGTGATGATTAGTTTTTGGCAAAGGCAGGTCCAGCAGTTACGGAGATAAGGAGCAAAGAGTGCAGAAAATAGAAATCGAGTTTTTGAGAGAACGGAGCATCCGATTTGAATGATCTAAAAAACATTCAATTAGTAATGATTGGGAGAAGCGTTTATTAGCTTTTGGCAAAGGCAGGCCCAGCCATTTCGGAGATACAGAGCTAAATGTACAAAAAATGGCAGTTTTTGAGAGAACTAAGCGCCCGATTCAATTGATTCAAAGAACTTTCTGCTTGTGTTAACAAAATAATTGATTTTGATTTTTTTTTTTTTTTAGTTTTTTTTGTATATCGAAAATAATTCAGACTTTATTTTTATTCTGACTAAAGTTCTAATATAACTTAAACAAATAATTTCAACTTTGCAATTCAGTTTATATAATTCTTATAAATATTAGACAATGTTACTATATTTATAATTATCTATTTGAAAACATTCAATATTCCTCGAACATTTCGTTACGGTACGGAAAGTTCCAGCAATTTGCCTTAAGGCACGATGCCACCCACCCCACTAGTTTTTTTCTAAAATTGCATAGTGTGTTACACGCCTTAGCATAAGGCCGTATCAACACTTGACATTTTGTATATGGACGGTTGATTATGACTTTACATGGCGCCGGTAGAGTGTGATGGCGGCTTTAGGATTGTAAGGCCTGTTTTACACTTGACTTTTTATAGGAATACTTTTTTATAAATTTAAAACTAAAACAATTTCAATACAATATATATATATATATATATTATATATATATATAATATGGTCAATAATAAAAAAAATATATAGATGTCTTAATGTAAGTCTGTTACATAAAATTTAGATTTATTATTTTATAATTGCTGTGATCTCTCATACCAGAACAATTGTCTGACTGAAATACAGTATGTACGAATTATATCAAATGAATAAATAAATAATAAAAAAAATGGTGGTACCTCTTCGTGAGCCTTGGCCTTCGCCTCAATAATACTTTGACTTTGTTGTATCACAGTTTGCTGCACAATATTCTCTCTATAATGAAGCACAGACGAAGCCATTTTCTGAAAACGCCAAAAATAGTTTAGGTAATTTATAATAGTCCTTGGTAAAAAAAAAGCTGGTCCAATTTCGTTATTAACTTCCCGTAGGGTAATTATAGTAATGGGCCGAAAATCAAAAATAAACATTTTTTCTCGACGTTTTGAAGGTTTCTGAACATTTTAAGGGACATACCTCAGAAAAAATTGATGAGTGTGTGTCTGATTTTTACTTTTAAATATGATGTCGAGTTAAAAAAGAACCTTTAGATTGCTGCAATAACATCAAAAATCAAAAGAATGTTGAAAAATTTCACGATTAGAAATGACTTCTACTGGTTTTGTTTTCTAATATCCAACTATTAACAAAAAATTACTTTAGTTGGTTTTTTATATGTTTAGTTTCTTCAAGAGTTTTTGTACAAAAAAAAACCGGTTTATTTATGTTAAGATTTGGCAAAGTTAGATCCGTGGCGCTAGGGTACGAGCTTTGGTCTCGCAACCATAGGGATACTGTGATATTGCGATGTAATGATATCAGATTTTTGCTTTCAAATATGATATTAAGTAAAAATTGCAAATTATTTTTTTAAATTGCAAATTGTCAGGGTTTTACACGAGTATTATCGTCAATCACATTTAATTGGTCAAATTATAAATCATAAATACATTTATCATCGAAAATGTGATGAATTTTAGAATCAGTTTATATGGATATAAACAGCGGTAAATTACCGTCAATAACAATAATACGATTACATTTAATAACTTGATTTATTTTATAATTTGTTTATTGAGTTTGATTTGTGATTAATTCGAAAATATTTATTACACAGATGGAAATAAAAATTATTTTCTGAAAGTTGATTTTTTCACGAATGAAATTTGTGTGTATGTGTCATCAGAAAAATGCAGTACTATCACTTTATCTTATTTTCCTATAATAAATCTTATTTGAATCTCTGTGTGCGTCAATGTAAGTCAATTCATTTCAAATCCATTTAAATTAATTACATTACATGAATTGATGTATTGATAAAATGCCAATTCAAGAATATATTCCAAATGAAGATATGATAAGATTCTAGTGAAGTAAATATAAAGATTTTAGAAATAAAAAAATATAAAAATCCCATCAAACTTTTTACTATTGACTTTTTTAACTTCCCGTAGGGTAGTTATAGTAATGGACCAAAAATCGAAAATGAAATTTTTTGCATTTCTCGACGTTTTGAAGGTTTCTGAACATTTTGGCATACCTCAGAAAAAATGGATGTGTGTGTGTTTTTTTTCGTCCACGTTTTCGGGCGCACGAATCAACCGATTTGAATGGTTTAAAAAACATTCGATCCCTATTGATAGGGAGATGTGCTGATTAGTTTTTGGCAAAGGCAGGTCCAGCCGTTAAGGAGATATGGAGCAAAGAGTGCAGAAAATAGAAATCGAGTTTGTGAAAAAACGGTGTATCGAATTTGAATGATCTAAAAAACATTCAATTTGTAATGATTGGGAGAAGATGTGATTAGTTTTTGGCAAAGGCAGGTTCCGCCATTTCGGAGATACAGAGCTAAATGTGCAAAAAACGGCAGTTTCTGAGTGAACTAAGCGTCCGATTTGAATGATCTAAAAAACTTTCTGCTTGTATTGACAAAACAATTGCTTTTGAGAATAAAAAATTATTACATCTTTTTTTATTTTCCATAGAATATTTTTGTAATTTTGGATTAAAAATTCAAAAAATTACCCAGGCTAAGCACAGTCTAAGCGCCGCTCTGGTACAAATGTTTACCCAAGTGCGTTTAGACTGCTTATAAACTGGAGCAGTTTTCCAATTTTGTGAAAACTATTGAGAAATGTGAAAATGCAGCCAAGTTAAGCACAGTATAAGTGAAAATGTCGCACAGAATTATTTGCAAATGCGTTTAGACTGTGACTATAGCGAGCACTGTTTCAATTTTGTATAAATTAGGCAACTAAACATTTTTTTAAAATTGAATTCGTAATGAAATGACGATTGTTAATGTTCTGGAGATAGTTTGATTTTGTGATTTACATTTGCTTTACTCAGATATAACAAAAGATAGCAAAAATAATGAGATTTACAGTATTTGCAATACCACGTTTAAAATTTCTCGAATATTTCGTTACGGTAGGGGAAGTTCCAGCAATTTGCCTTAAGGCACGATGCCATACACCACTAGTTCCTTCTTACCTCCGATTCGACTTCGATCATCTGATCACCAGCCTTAGGCAAATCTCGCCAACCAGCGACTTCCACCGGAATTCCGGGGCCTGCAGGAATGTGCGTCACCTGATCACCATGGTGATCATACAAAGCCCGAACACGACAACTTGTCAACCCGGAAACTAAAATATTACCACGCCTAAGAGTTCCTCTGGTCACCAGAGCTGTCGCCAATTTCCTAAAGATAAAGGACACATTGGTAAAAAAATTAAATTTTAGTTTAATTATTAAGTTTGGTATTACCCTTTGTGTTCGTCGGTTCGAGTTTCGATCACCCATCCTTCGACAGGTCCTGTGTAATCGGATTTCAGGCCCATGATTTGTGCCTGAACACTGAGGGCTTCGACAAGTTCATCAAGACCGGTTCCTTTGGTTGCAGAAATTGGAACCCATTGTACTTCGCCGCCCATGCCTTCTAAATTTACACCGTGGGCTAGCAGGTCTCTCTTGACACGCTCCTAAAACAAAATAATGACATATTGGTTGCTAAGACTACAGCAGTAGATGATGAGGAAAAAAGGGTGAAACCTCTGAACTTTATTACTGTGCTCCAATTTGCATGAAATTTTGGAAATAGGCTAATCTTACACTCAAGTTTAAAAGTGAAAATAATTTGCACTGCTTTTTAGTTACGTAAAATTTTTTACACGAATTTTTCGAATTTACGAAAAAAATCGTACAATTTTTTTTTTTTTTTTTTTGAAAATGTTTGGATTTCATTCAAAAGTTCAGATGAGAAGTAAACAAACGTGATATCTTACTAGACACTTTCCTCCTCCGCGAGATTTTTCGTGATTTTTTGCCTATAAATATAAATATAAATAAAAATATAAATATAAATCTTATATATAAAAATGAATCGCAAAATGTGTTGGTAAGCGCATAACTCAAAAACGACTAGACCGATTTGGCCAATTCTTTTTTTAAAATGCTCGTTGATGTCCAAGGATGGTTCTTACGCCGAGAAAAAATCGAATAATTGCCAGGAAGAACCTAAAAACAGCCTTTTTTTACATACAAATGTTTTCTAACTAAAGCGTAGAATCAATTTGAGTTTTATTGCTATTATATAAAGTTCATATTAAATTACAAGCACCCACTGTATAGTCCTTCTAAACGATTATGCGGATTTGATAAATCTTTCTGAAGTTTGTTAAGAAAATTTTATAAGATATATGTGATTATGAAGTCCTGGGATGTATGTGCAATATTATAGAAATAAATGAAAAAAATAGCAAAAAACAACATGTCATTGTTTGCATTGAAAACAAATGAAAACTATCATCTGCCAAAAATTTCAATTTATTTATGAGCCTAGACAATATTAGAATATGTATAATAAATTTATGATGAATAAGAAAAATGAAATGTCTACATTATTATTGCTAAAAAACAGATGAGATGTGCCAGAAATTAAAATAATATAAGATACAGTATACGTATGGCAGATTGAATGATACACATATGAACAGGATATGAAAAATTAATTCACTTAAAATATGAAATTATGAAATTAATCAGGGCCGGTTCTACCTTTAATGCGACACTTGCGAAAAATACGAGCGCACGCCTTAGGGGGCGCCAACACAAGATTCGGATATTAAATTTTCAATATAGTTTTTTTTTTCAATATATAATTTCTTTGCATCTTTTACTAATCTTTTCACAATATTTTTAAAATTCGAAAAAAAATCACTTTATAACAACAAATGGGAAAGTAAAGATTAATACATACAATTCGGCCCTCACGATATCGATTAGGAGAAGTTTAAGATGCAATTTTGGATATCATAAATAATAAACAATTAAATTAATTTAATCCAACATGAAGTACCAGTGTTATGATATGGTTATGGTTATGGTTATGTTATACCGTTTAAAATACTTCAATTTCCAATATTAGTGTGGGAATTGAGATTCATCATTTTATTTAAAGCAGTTCTACATTTAACATCGCTCATATTATAAATGTATATGCATTTTGGCGTGAAGAGTAATTTAAAAAACAATAATTATTATTTTTAAGTAAACGGTAAATATTAGTATTAAATTAAAAAATTATGGACATGGGTACAGGACAACGTCTGTCTGGTCATCTAGTATAAATATAAATATAATTAATGGACGCGTCCTAAGGTCGGCCTACCTAAAGATAGAACTGGTCCTAATTAATACTTAATTTCATATTTTAAGTGAATTAATTTGTCATATCCTGTTCATATGTGTATCATTCAATCTGCCAACATATAATAATAATAATGTGACATTTCATTTTTCTTATTCATAATCATAAATTTATTATACATATTCTAACATTGTCTAGGTTCATAAGTAAACTGAAATTTTTGGCAGATGATAGTTTTCATTTGTTTTCAATGCGAACAATGACATGTCGTTTTCTGCATTTTTTTCCATTTATTTCTACAATATTGCACATACATCCCAGTGTTTTATAATCACATACATACTAGAAAATTTCCTAACAAACTTCAGAAAGATTTATCAAAATCCGAATAATCGTTTAGGAGGAGTATACAGTGAGTGCTTGTGATTTAATATGAACTTTATATAATAGCAATAGAGCTCAAATTGATTCTACGTTGGTTGCTTAGACTAAAAACAAAATCAATTTATTACTCACAACATCAGCATTCGGCTTATCAATCTTATTGATGGCAACTATCAGAGGAACTGAAAAACAAAAATAAAATTACATATTGTCCAGTAAACTTCTTATAATCTCAGATCCATTTTACTATTTTTATTATTTATCAATATTACTAGATGTTAATTATTTAAAAGTTGTAATAATTATTGAAATTAAAAAAAAAAATACTAGTCATTAGGGAATGCAATACCGATGGAAAATTTCAATACCGGTATTTCGGCAATTTTTCCTTTTAAAACCGGAATACCGGTAAATTACCGGTATTTTTATTATCTTAAACAAACGCAAACAAAATTGAAAGTTACTAGTACAAATATAAAAAAAATGTATATACAACTACAACTATATTTAACTAAACAATAAAAACAATAAAATAAAACAATAAGTTTATTTTTTTTAAATAATAATTTAACAAAAGTATATGCAATTTAATTAATTCATTATCGCTATCGAGTATATTGAATACTTTTCACCAAAAACAAACTTATGAGTAGGAAAGACCAAAAACTCATAAAAGATCATATTAGATTATTATAATAAACTGTATTGTCCGATGTGTTAAATCAGCATAATCTCCAATATTTAAAAAAAAAATTCTACACTAATTTAAGATCCGATATTTTGTCGAGATAAATAATAAGTTACTATAATTGTTGAGTATTATTATTTATCACATTGTGATGCTTCTGTAGTATTTTCAAACTTCGAAACGTTTTCGAAAAATAATATTTTATAATTGTAATAAGAAGCAAAAATATTTCGTAATTATCATAATTATTATGTATAAAGTTAGAAAAAAATAAAGATTACGCAGGGGTAATCTGTATGATATAAAATATTTTGGCGCAAATATCACTTAAAAAACCGTTACATTTTTACAATATCATTATCTATCAGTCCAATTCTATTTATTGTAACACGATATGAAGCCCTTTGGAAAGCAATAAATATTCAGTTTAATGACGAGTTGAGATAATATTTGACATTTGTTTATCATATAGAATCACTTGAAGGTATAGCTGTTTATGCGATTATGGAATTTAAAGATAAATTTGTTCCGAGATAATTAAACTTTAGTGCATTATGTATCAAATAGCGCTTATGTAAATATACCGAAAATACCCGTATTTTTGGGGTAAATAACGGTAAAAATACCGCCGAAAAATCGGGCGGTTTACCGGTAATTCGGTATACCGGTATTGCATTCCCTACTAGTCATCATCTGTCCATACCATACCATCAGCTTCTTTAGCCAAAGCAATGACCTCCTTCGTCTGTGCCATAACACTATCATCGGCTGCAACCACCAGGACGATTAAATCCGTCACGTTCGCGCCTCTTGCACGCATAGCCCCGAAAGCCGCATGTCCTGGCGTGTCCAGGAAGGTGACGCACTCCAGTTCCTTCGATGAAGGGTCTTTGTGGTCCAGAGCCACTGGGTAAAGGACAGAGAACAAATTATTAACTTTCCGTAGGGTAGTTCTAGTAATGGGCCGAAAATCGAAAATGAAAATGTTTGCATTTCTCGACGTTTTGAACGTTTCTGAACATTTATTAGGTTGTCAAATATCTCCCTTCCGCCTTTTTGTATTATAAACCAATAGCAAAAAGGCGGAAGGGAGATATTTGACAACCTAATATAAGGGGCATACCTCAGAAACTAAATGGATGTGTGTGTGTGTGTGGATAAAAAATTATTACATCTTTTTTTATTTTCCATAAAGAATTTTTGTAATTTTGGATTGAAAATTGATAAAATTATCCAGGCTAAGCACAGTCTAAGCCCGCCAAGCATCTCTCGACTACAGATTATTTTTCTAGATATTATATCAAATACAGTTGTAAAGGCTAATTTTGATATCAGTCAAATACTGGTAAAAACTCTTGTTCGCAGAAATAGCATTTCCTAATAAAATAAATATTAATTTAAATATTAGCTTAACAATATTGTAAGAAAAATTGAGAAGCTTTAAATCTTTATTTTTGGATATGAAAAAACAATTGTAGTACTTTCGTCATTTTGGTAATAAAGAATAATATCTTTTGCACTATCTTGTGTTTCACATTTCATTTTTAGAAAATGAAAATGTGAACAAATTTTTATTGTGATTCCAAATACTCAAAGCTAACAAAACAGCTGCTCCCATGTAAATGTTTTCTTCGCCATTTACCATGCAAAATAATACAAATTTAGAAAATGTATTTTGTCAGTAAATATCGCATTTTTTTTATAAATCTCATGTCAACCCTAAGAAATTTTTGCTTTTGAAAAAAAAACCCAAATCAAATTATGATAAATTATATTTTTGGAAGTACGTATGGGTGCAAACAATTACCCAGGTCCACAAAAGAAAAGTCGCTGGATAATAATTCATTCATTCAGAAAAAATGCTACAAAATGCCAGTTTTTAGATGTGATTCTTGTGGCAATTTTTAATTTTGTTGCAATTACATTATTTCCGCGCTCAGTCAACAAATCTTTTGACTTAATTTTAGTTCAGACTTTTGAGTTTATGAAAAAGCCTTCAGTTTTATTAAAAGAAAAAGCAATTTATTTTTATCGTGGGTTGTACGAACGTAATTTTATTTTTAAATTTTATTCTTTATTTTAATTTTCCTAATGCGGATTAGAAAACTACATACAACTCCAAATTTTCATTATTTTATAATAATCATTTTAGTAGTCATTTTTTATTTAGCTCGGTAATGGATCAATTATCGATTAACTATTATCGCCTTTTTTGTGAATGTTTTTAATAGAAATTTGATGAAGATTTTTCTGAGCTTATAAAAAAGTTTAAATTTATCCGTTCTATTCGCTGCAATATTTTAAAAACAATTCTTAGATATTGGCAACGAAATGGTTACCTCCGATAAAACCATCTGATTTGCAGGCTTATCCTACCGTACATATATTTCCCGATGTGCATTAGAAGTACATAGTTTTTGAATGTCTTGCAGAAAGAGCAATTCTAGCAAAAAAATTAGAAATTTAATATTATAATCTGAAAATAAAACTGTTTTTGAGAGAAAACTGATTTTTTTTTTCAGAGTTATTGAAATCTCACTCGTTTCGCTATGCAATAAGCTAATTCAAATATGTATGTTAGTATTTTAGCTTTGTAGTGGGTAAATTATCAATGTAATTTGTGTTAGCTGCCCCTTTTATTTATATACCACATATTTATACATTCAGAATTAGTTAGTCATTTCTTTTACTAATGATTTTCTAAAAATATTTCCTGTGGCTGAACGTTCGCCGGGTCAGCTAGTATATATATATAAATTACGTGCGGCCCGCCATAAAATTCAGATATAACAAGATAGCAAAAATAATGAAAGTTACAGTATTTGTAATAATATATTTGAAAACGTTTAAAATTTTTCGAATATTTCATTACGGTTCGGGAAGTACCAGCAATTTGCCTTAAGGCACGATGCCATACACCACTAGTGAATTCTTACTTGGGAGTCAATAAAATAATTGTCTGTTGTTTTTTTTACCTGTAAAGGCTCCAATGTGTTGAGTGATGCCACCAGCTTCACCTGCAGCAACACTGGTGCCTCTCAAAGCATCCAGAAGACTTGTTTTACCATGGTCGACGTGTCCCATTACAGTCACAACAGGAGGACGAGGTTTTAACAAAGGATCGTCTGGTGCTAAAGGAGGTCTTGGGAAGACATCACGTACCTAAATAAAAAATGCACCACAAAAAGTTACCTAGTTGTCGATATTGGAATGCATCATCGAGTGAAACATCCCATTCAGCATCACAATATAAAAGTATATAGAATAAATTACTATGATGGTTGGTGTCCTGCTTACTTTTTCTTCAGTGTGTGTGCTCGTCTGGGGCACCGGCACAATTCTAGATTTGAAACCAGCTTTAGAAACAATTTCTTTTGTGATTTTTGGATTGTCAAGCCTAAAATTCTTATGTATGTCTTGTAAGCCTTCGACGTATAAACCTATTTCCTGAAATATTTTAAGGGCATTTAAAATGATTAAAAATTCGATTCATTAAATAAATTATCTTCTAAATATTCTGGATCCTCCATCAGATAATAATATATACATATTATATATATATATATATATATATATATTAGGGTGGTCCTTAAAATGGTCATTTTCGAATTTCCTTGCTCCCAGGGGCTCAAATGGTTCCAAATAGATAAAAAACAATTGTCTGAAAGTTTTAGCTCTTAATATTAACGTTTAGATAGAGCGCAATTCAATCAAAGTTTGTATGAGAAGAGCATGGAAAAATTTTTGAAAATTTAAAAAAAATGTTTTAGGTATAACTTAGCGACAAATGAATGAGTTTTATTCATTCATTTGTTCGCTAAATTACATCTAAAAAACATTTTTTAAATTTTTGAAAATTTTTCTATGCTATTTCCATACAAAACTTTGATTGAATTGCGCTCTATCTAAACGATAATATTAAGAGCTAAAACTTTCAGAGAATTGTTTTTTTATCTATTTGAAACCATTTGAGTCCCTGGGAGCAAGGAAATTCAAAAATGACTATTTTAAGGACCACCCTAATATATATATATATATATATATATATATATATATATATATACATATATACATTTATAATACATAATGTTTTTTTTTTAATTTCGTTCTTAAAATATATAGTTCTTTGGTTTTTGCTTAATTTTTAAATTATTTTGCTTATTTTAATTTACAAAATATTTAGTAGTTTCTTTATAGCATTTTAAAAAATATATATTTCTGGTTTTTGGATTTTAAAGTTTCTGGATTATTGAGTTTTTGGATTTTTGAGTTTCTTGATTTTGAGTTTCTGGAGTTTCTGAAGTTCCTTGATTTTGATGTTTCTGGATTTTTTAAGTTTCTGGACTTTTTGAGTTTCTGTATTTCTGAGTTTCTGTATTTTTGAGTTTCTATATTTTTAAGTTTCTGTATTTTTAGGTTTCTAGATTTTCAAAGTTTCTGGATTTTTAGGTTTCTGGATTTTAGAGTTTCTGGATTTTGAAGTTCCTGGATTTTGAAATTTTCTGGATTTTGGAGTTTTTGGATTTTGACGTGTCTGGATTTTTTGGTTTCTGTATTTTTGTCTTTCTGCATTTTTGAGTTTCTGGGTTTTTAGGTGTCTGGGTTTTGGAGTTTCTGTTTTTCTGGATTTTCAAGTTTCTGGATTTCTGAATTTTTGAGTTTCTGGATCTTTAGTTTCTAGATTTTTAAAGTTTCTGGATTTTAGGATTTTGCATTTTTAGGTTTCTGGATTTTTAGAGATTTTGGGTTTTGTTCCTGGATTTTTGAAGTTTCTCGATTTTTATGTTTCTGGATTTTTGAGTTTCTTGATTTTAAAGTTTCTGGATTTTAGAGTTTCTGGATTTAGGTTTCTGGATTTCTTGAGTTTCTGGATTTTTGAGTTTCTGAATTTTTGAAGGTTCTGGATTTTTCGGTTTCTGTATTTTCAAGTTTCTAGATTTCTGAATTTTTGAGTTTCTGGACTTTTTGATTTTCTGGATTATTAGGTTTCTGGATTTTTAGGTTTCTAGATTTTTAGGTTTTTGGATCTTTAGGTTTCTGGATTTTTAGGTTTCTAATTTTTTGCGTTTCTGAGTTTTTGAGTTTCTGGATTTTTACATTTCGGGATTTTTAGGTTTCTGGATTTTTAAGTTTCTGAATTTTTAAGTTTCTGGATTTTTGAGTTTCTTGATTTTTTAGTTTTTGGATTTTAAAGTTTCTGAATTTTTAGGTCTTCGGATATTTAGGCTCATGGATTTTTTGAGTTTCTGAATTTTTAGTTTCCTGGATTGTTGACATTTCTGCGTTTCTGCAGATTTTTGCGTTTTCTTGAATTTTTCTGTTATTTTCTGGATTTTCGAATTTTTTAGATGTTGGGTTTCTATATTCTTTGGTATTCTAGATTTTTGGCTTTTTTTAAATTTTTGCGTTTCTGGATTTTGGGGTTTTCTCCATATTTCGAAAATATGCAGAATCCGGGACAAAAGATCTAAATCCGGTACAAATACTGCTTTTAGAAAAACCCAGGACACAAGGTGCAAATCCCGGTCTATTTTTATGTAATTGAATGAAAAAACCTTCTGCAAAACGTCATTCTTCAAAATAAGAAATTTATTCTTCAGAATAAAGAATAGTCTGGTTAAAAAAGTTTTAAATTGTTTCAGAGCAAACATAGTTGTATCTTGTTCAATATTTTTGAAATAGTTTATTAAATTTTGGCTAGTTTCACCAATATATATTAAAGCACAGTCTAAGCAATTGATTTGGTAAATTTAAAGACTAGGATTATAGGCAAAACATATAGATTTTAGTATAAACTCTTCAAGAATTACATGTTTTTTTTATTGATAAGTGTGTTTAAGATTTAATTTAAAATTATACAGTATATATATATATATATATATATATATATATATATATATAAAGAGCTGTTTACCTGAACTTGTTCTAAATCTTTGCCCATGCTTTTTGCTAAATCATTTATTGTCATATTTCTCCATATGTCTATTGTTGGCCCATCTTTCTTTAATTTAGATTTCGGTGAATATTCTATTAATTTTGGAGATTTCTAAAATATATACATATATATATATATATATATATATATATATATGTATATATAACCAAATTATCATTATTAAGAATAATAAATACTGTATATATAATAGTTCAAATATAAATTTATAAATATTGAATATTTTTAAAACTGCAAATACAATTAAATTTTAATTACAGAAAAGAATAGATAATGCAGCTTAATATTTATGTATACAAATTAAAAAGACTTGGACGACTTTAAGTAGTATTCCATGATTGATTTACTCAAGAAGACTCCAGCAAAATCTACAGACAAATTGTCTTTAAACAGAAGTATGAAAAAACAGCAGGACAACCCAATCCAAAATGTCGTCAAACAACTATTAGAAATATACTAAGAAGATATGATAGACTGCTCACTGATCAATAACGAAATAAATCATCAAACTCAAATTTATCACTAAATTGTAGAAAAAATATACAAATAATATATAATTGAAGAAAGTATATCTAGAAGTTATCTGGTTCTAAGATCTTATATTACTAATCGATACAAAGATAACAATAGACAATATATAGATTATAAATTATCCTTACTCTTTCTTCTGATGTTTTTCTACGTTTATACGAAGTGGGTCCTGTGAAAAACGTTTGGAATGCACAAACTTTCCTCGGACTTTGTCCAATCCTGTAAACAACAATTATATATACATACATATATATATATATATATATATATATATATACAAAATGTAAGTACTTTTTACTTGCAATTGTTCAAACTTTATGGTTACATATATTAGTTTTTAAATTAAATGTAGTTCCACTAAATAAAGGCTACAATCCCAAGCCAAAACGTATGAATTTTATCATATTTTCTTTAATAAATTCATGATTTTTATTAATATTATGTACAACTATTAGACTTTGTTAATATATATTAAATATGATATAAATATTTTATTACCTCAGCATTCCCAAACGTAACACTATAGCCATTTTATTCACATCTATATTATTATATAAACAATTTAAATTAATACATTATTAATATTTTATATTAAATATATATTACTTTAACATTATTACACAATATAAGACATGCTTTTTTGAGGTTAAAGTTTTGACGTTTGATCGTCGCGCTCTCAGTAGTGAGAATTTGTAATTGAAATAGAGCGGAAAGTTTGAAATTAATTTATATAAATATTTTATATATGTATTTTATTATTATTGTTATCTACATGTACAAGAATTATTTTTTAATAAATATAAATTGCTTATATTATTAATAATGAATTACTTCAATGTTAATCCATGTTTAGAAAGATTGGAACAATAATTTATGTGTATAAATCAATATATACATTAAATATACTGTTTCCTTATATAAAGAGTTTATATATAAATTTATAAACATGTATAAACCAATATTTACACTTATATATACTAATTTCTCTTGTACCAAGTTTATATATAAATTTATAAATGTGTATAAATCAATATATATATATATATATATATATATATATATATATATATTTATATATATATATATATAAATATATATATACTAATTTTCTTTTATACTAAGTTTATATATAAATTTATAAACGTGTATAAATCGATATATACATTTATATATACTAATTTTTCTTCTATCAGTATAAACAAGTTACATAAAATATTAATAATAAATTACTTAAATGTTAATTCATGTTTAGAAAGATTAGAACAATAATTTATGTGTATAAATCAATATATACATTTATATATACTAATTTCTATTGTACCAAGTTTATATATAAATTTATAAATGTGTATAAATCAATGTATATATATATATATATATATATATATAAATATATATAAATATATATATATACTAATTTTCTCTTATACTAAGTTTATATATAAATTTATAAACGTGTATAAATTGATTTATACATTTATATATACTAATTTTTCTTATACCAAGTTCATATATATAAATGTATAAACATGTATAAATCAATATATACATTTATAAATACTAATTTCTCTTATACCAAGTTTATATATATAAAATTATAAATGTGTATAAATCCATATATACATTTATATAATAACTAATTTCTTTTATACCAAGTTTATATATAACGTGTATAAATCGCTATATACATACATAGTTTATATATAACATATAAAACAATATATACTAACTTCTCATATAAATTTATATATAATAATAATATAATATATACATTTATATATACTAATTTCTTTTATACCAGGTTTATATATATATATATATATATATATATATTTATAAATGTGTGTAAATCTATATATATATATATATATATATATATATAAAAGTATATATGCTAATTTTTCTTATACCAAGTTCTTATAAATCAATATATACATTTATATATACTAATTTCTCTTATCCCAAGTTTATATATAAATTTATTAATTTGTATAAATCAATATATACAATTATATATACTAATTTCTTATCTTAAAAGTTTATATGTAAATTTATAAACGTATATAAATCATTATATACATTTATATGTACTAATTTCTCATATAACAAGTTCATATATAAATTTATAAACGTTTATAAATCAATATATACATTTATATATACTAACTTCTCTTATATATATATATATATATATATATATATTATATAGATTGATTGTATATATTGATTTATACAAATGTATATATATATATAATATATATATATATATACATTTGTATAAATCAATATATACATTTATATATATATATATATATATATATATATATAGTTTTTTCATATAAAGTGTACATATATTAATTTATAATTATGTATAAATCAATATATAAATTTATATATACTCATTTCTCACAACACAAGTGGATATATATATTTATAAATGTGTATAAATCAATATTAACATTTATTTATATTAAATATTTATATTAAAACAAAGTCACATATTAGTAATTACGTCTTGTATTACGTTTTACAGATTTTACACAATATATTAAAATAACTTATATATAAAACATTTTCAAAGTACACATAGTTTTATATTAAAAATAAAAATAAAACATTTCAATAAAAGCACTTAAAAACTAAAATCTCCAATATACATCGGCTCGAAATCAGGATGATCATCTAAATCATCAAAGGCACCAGGTAAATCATCCACAGGCAAATCGTCAACAAAATCAAAACCTGAATCGTCACCACATTCTGGTTCTGGTGTAGGTGGTCGATAATCAAGACTTTCCACCAGCTTTTCTGTTAACTTTGCGAGACCGCCAGGGTACAAGTCGATGTAATCATCTGGATAAAACAACATAGGTTATCAAAATAAACTAAAAATCAAATTTAACATGTATCATTTACTACCTATAAAGGGTACTTCATGGTAGACTTCATCATAAACAGGTGACAGGGTTTCCTTAGGTTCTGTTTTTATGACCTTTGTTAGTGGTACTTTAGGGCTGTTCAGCAGATTTGGTTTCAAGGGTGTAAACTTCTTATTGAGTGTATTCTGCACCTCAGATAAAGCCCCTGTGATTTTTTTAGGGGTCAAGAAGGCTTTGCCAGAACGTGCACCTTCTGCAAATGCCAAAAGCTTGGAGCATCCTTACACAAAAGTTAAATATTACAATAGACTTACCATTTTCCAGTTGTCTGCTAAATCTGTTGGTGGCTTCTAAGTTCCTGGCCATGTTGCTTGTTTAAATGCTGCACAATTAATGTCGAAAAATAAAATGCAATTAAATAAAATACAGAAGCTGAAATGTCAGTTCGTTTCAAATTGACAGTTGGTGACGTAGTTCAGGCGATTGCTACTAGATAACGGTAGTGAAGTTAGCGCCGGTTGGTGGGCGCGATTTTTGAAATTTAAATTGAACCCAGGGTAATTGAAATTTGTATATATGAATGTATATATATAAGAATACACATGTAGAAATTTATATATAAACTTGGTATAAGAAAAATTAGTGTTTATAAATGTATATATTGATTTATACAAGTTTATAAATTTATATTTGGACTCTTTATAGGAGAAATTAGTATATATAAATGCATATATTGATTTATACACGTTTATAAATTTATATTTGGACTCTTTATAGGAGAAATTAGAATATATAAATGTACATATTGATTTATACACGTTTATAAATTTATATATGGACTCTTCACAGGAGAAATTAGTATATATAAATGTATATATTGAATTATACACGATTATAAATTTATATATGAACTCTGTATAGGAGAAATTAGTATTTATAAATGTATATATTGATTTATACACGTTATATATAAACTTGGTATAAGAGAAGTTAGTATATATAAATGTATATATTGATTTATACACGTTTATAAATTTATATATGAACTAGTTATATGAGAAATTAGTATATAAAAATGTATATATTAATTTATTCACATGTAGAAATTTATATATGAACTCTTTATAAGAGAAATTAGTATATATAAATGTATACATTGATTTATACACGATTATAAATTTATATCTGGACTCTTTATAAGGGAAATTAGTATATATAGATATATATATATTGATTTATACATGATTATAAATTTATATATGCACTTGTGTTATGAAAAATGAGTATATATAAATGTATATATTAATTTACACACGATTATAAATTTATATATGGACTCTTTATAGAAGAAATTAGTATATATAAGTGTATATATTGATTTATACACGATTATAAATTAGTATATATAAACGTATATATTGATTTATACACCTTTATAAATTTATATATAATCTTGGTATAAAAGATTTTAGTATATATAAATGTAAACATTGATTTATACATGTTTATACATTTAAATATAAACACTTTCTATAAGAAAACCGTATATATATATAAATATATATATATATATATATATATATATATATATATATATATAAATATATATTGATTTATACAAAATTATAAATTTATATATGGACTCTTTATAGAAGAAATTAGTATATATAAATGTATGTATAAAAGAAAAATAAAAAAATATTATAAGGAAATTGAAGATTGAATAGATATTTTAATTATAATAAATATTATATTGCAGTATAATGAAATAGCCAAATGATATGTATATATAAAATAAGAAAATTGTTTCATAATCTCTCATACCAGATACCCCTGTCTGACTGAGTTTTGAAAATAATATATAAATAAATAAATAAATAAATAAAAAGATAAAAAAATATGTATTGATAGTTTTCCTAATCCGGGACCATAAATAGATTTTTCATTCTTTAGCAACAAATAGAAAATTCGGGACATTTTTAGTTTTTGTCAAATAACTCAAAAATTTCATATGAACCTACCTTTTATTAGTTAGATGGGGTGAAACTAGATAAAATTTAGAACATTTCCTTTAAAACAAATATATACATTCCGATAGAAAAGTTTTGAATAAAACGATTTTGAATTTGTATATCTAATAGCGTATAAAAGAATCCAATTGGAATCCACTAAGATTCCTACATTTCTAAAGAGATTGCATGCAGCGCCTCTATGTTAAATTGTTCCCAAATCGTGAGGAACTACGTAGTGACTACCGGGTTCATGTGGTTCTGTGTTAGATGGCGCCACCGTCGGCAAACGTTTGACAGTTCTCAACGACTCATATATATATACTAGCTGTCCCAGATTGTATGGGAATTGGATATATAAATGTATATATCGACTTATACACTACTAGGCATTTATATATGGGGTCAGTATATTAGAAAAATGGATATATACATTTATATATCGATTTATACACGATTTGCCATTTATATATGGGATCTGTATATTAGAAAAATGAATTTATACATTTATATATTGATTTATACACGATTTGGCATTTATATATGGGATCTGTATATTAAAAAAAAGGATATATACATTTATATATTGATTTATACACTACTAGGCATTTATATATGGGGTCAGCATATTAGAAAAATGGATTTATACATTTATATATTGATTTATACACTACTAGGCATTTATATATGGGGTCAGCATATTAGAAAAATGGATATATACATTTATATATTGATTTATACACTACTAGGCATTTATATATGGGGTCAGCATATTAGAGAAATGGATATATACATTTATATATTGATTTATACACTACTAGGCATTTATATATGGGGTCAGCATATTAGAAAAATGGATATATACATTTATATATTGATTTATACATAATTATATATATACTAGCTGTCCCATATTGTATGGGAATTGGATATATAAATGTATATATTGATTTATACATGATTATATATATACTATCTGTCTCGGTTTGTATGGGAATTGGATGTATAAATGTATATATCGATTTATACATGGTTATATATATACTAACTGCCTTAGTTTGTATGGGAATTGGATATATAAATGTATATATTGATTTACACATGGTTATATATATACTAACTGCCTTAGTTTGTATGGGAATTGGATATATAAATGTATATATTGATTTATACATGATTATATATATACTAGCTGGCTCGGTTTGTATGGGAATTGGATATATAAATGTATATATTGATTTATACATGATTATATATATACTAGATGTCTCAGTTTGTATGGGAATTGGATTTATAAAAGTATATATTGATATATACATATATCAATTGATTTTATATAAATAAAATGACTTGTACTTGGTTAATTTCCTGTCTGGGTGTCCTGTAAAAAAACATCTCCTTTCCTTCTGTTCAAAAATTGAAATATTTGGTTGATTTTTCACAAATTTTATATTTTTTTTATAATTTTCATAAGGTTTTTCATATTATGCTAATTAATAATAACATTAATATAATTTCATATAATTATTCACTATATATATATATATATATATATATATGTATGTATGTATTTTATTATATATTATATAAAATATAGAAAAGCTAATTACAAAGCTATATATTTAATATAAAAATCTAATATATATATATATATATATATATATATATTAGCTAAATTAAGATTATATTATTTATATTTATTTTAATATCTACAAACAAATAAAGTCTTTATGCAAAAATATGTCCCTGACATTTTCGCCATCACATAAAATTTTTATATAATAAGAGTACAATATATATATATATATATATATATATATATATATATATATATATTAAAAAAAAATTAACAATTACGACATTTCGGAACTACACATGCTCCATCATCAGGTATTTTGTTATTATCAAAAACGAAGAATAAATTCATAAATCAAAATTACAAGTAAAAATATTATTTTGTTCAATCCAAACATTTTTTAAATAAAAAAAAAACTAATTGTTTATACAAAATACTTGATAAAATAAATATTTCAAGTTATTCAATATTTTGTTGACAAGATAATAAATAAAAAAATCAGTAAATAAATGGATACATAAATAAATAAATAATTTGAGTAAATGTATATAAATGTATAAGTGAAAAGATTAATAAATAAATAAATAAATGAACAAATAAATAAATTAATAAAAATTAATAATGCATACCATTCTACATAAATCTATTATCAGAATTGTAAAAAAAAATTCAGAAGTTTAAAAAATCAGTTTTTTTTCCAAAAAGTAGTAAGAGTAATTTTGAAATTTATGTGTAACATATATGTAACAGAATCCACAAAATCTTACGTAACATTTTTGCAGGACAATGACGTAACATTTATGTAAATATTAGGTAACATCGTGTTACGTAATGCAAGTTTCATATTTCTTACGTAATACATGAATGAATAAATAAACAAGTTAATTCATAAATAAATTAAAATTAATAATGCGTACAATTCTACATAAATCTATCATCAGAATTGTAAAAAAATTCAGAAGTATTAAAAATCAGGATTTTTTCCAAATTTTGAAATTTATATGTAACATATATGTAACAAAAACCACTATATCTTACGTAAGATTTTTACAAGCCATTGACGTAACATTTGTGTAAATATTACGTTACATCAGTTTCATATTTCTTACGTAATATATAAATAAATGAATAAATAAATTAATGCATAAATAAACTAATAAAATAAATTAATACAGTATAAAATATAAAATAAATAAATATATCAGTAAATAAATTAATACATAAAAGAATGAATAGATAAATTAGTAAATAATTAACTGTATAAATAAACAAATTTGTATATTGAATACTTGTTAAAGATTTTTTTCTAATAAATAAATATTTAAATTAATATATATATATATATATGTAATTTTTTTTCTTGTAAAATAAATTGAATATTTTTTTCTTCCTGAAGAAGGGTACATACAGCATCACCGAAACGTTTAAATATTTATAAATAAAGAATTGATTTGTTTTTGAAAAACAATATGGAAACATTTAGTAAAGTAAAATAAATTTTCAAACTTATATATTAAATTTATAACTAATGCTTATAAATATAAAAGTAAATTTTTTTTCATAACTAGAATAAACTAGTAATAACTAAAATAAAATGACAGCCGATAGACATAGTAAGTTTTTTCTTAAATTTTAATTAGAATTATAAATAATTATATGATTATTAATCTAACTTAATTAATAAGTACGTTAAACCTAGAGATTAACATTAAAAAATTATTAATTATGAATTCTTTGAAATTGTTTGTTTTCAGCTGTTTGAAAAAATATATTGTAAATTGATTTGGAAAAATATATATTGTAAGTTTATTTTGAGAACATATTGTAAGTTGTCTTGAAGAAATAATTCAAGTTGTCTTGAAAAAGAAT